AGAGAGAGAGAGAGAGAGAGAGAGAGAGAGAGACCTTATTATTTTTTTTTATATCGCCCTTGACTCTTCATATTGTTTATTTTTATATAACGAGTCCTTATTTCTTTTTCTATTAATTTCTTATTATTTTTCATATTCGGAATTATTTAATAACCATCTTATTATTGTATATTTTGAGGTCTAGCAGCGCCAAGTTTTTTGTACTTTTACTTTTTGAAATAAAGTATGTTATATATGTGTCAAGAAAATATATTCATAATTGGCGCAATTTAAAAAGATTTCATTTTATTTTGTGAGGCTAACACACTTGGCGCCTTTTTTTCCTTCTTTTTAAAAAGGTAATTTTGTTGATTTCATTATACATTAACTTGTATCTTAACTAACACACACAATAAGTTAAATTTTCAAGGTTGTTAACTTTAACTTAACTTAGTTTTAAAAAAAAGTAACTTACCCAACCCTGCATATTGGTATATAGGGTGCGGTCAAACTACAAATGCTTTGAAGTGTGTTTCAAGTGCGGTTAATCGAACGCTTCAAACTATTTTAGCCGCAAATATGACGTCATGAATACGTTATCATTTTCGCTTCCAGCTCGCTCCATTGCTGTTGCCGAAGAGGTAGTCGCACGTAGCACACCAGCGCGTGTAAAGCGTTTTCGAAGCACTGTTCAGATTGCACCTCCCAAAACTGCTGTTAATTATGCACTTTTATTGCATGCGGATAACTCGGCTAATTTCAAGTCATATTGCAGACATTTTGTTATACGACATGAAAAGTGCAGTAAATCTGCTATAAAATTTTATTTATAATGCTCTTTTCATAGTGGATTTTGAAAGCGCTTTTAAAGCGCTAAAAAGCTAAAAGTAATGCACCTGCATACGCGCTTTTTTAGCGCTTTTAAGCGCTACTGTGCTACGTGGGGTGTAGCTGAAACGTTTTTGGTTCAAATTAAATTTACAAACGCGGGAAAGTGGCGATCGGTTGCGACTTTGCGACAATTATAAGTTTATGTATGATTTATAATAATAAAAGACATCTATGCCACAAATGTTCATGTTTAAAATGTTCATTGCTAAACGATGGTATTATCGATATAATCTTCAAGTTTTTTTTATTATAAAGTTCATTTTTTTGTAGAAACAAAACATGCTATTAAATCATCTTCATCGTCATTTAAGTAAGAGAGTGTGTGATTCCAAAAACTTGTTTACACATATTAATACAATTATCTTTTTTCTATCCATTTGATCGTATTTGTTATTAAATCATCTTCATCGTCATTTAAGTAAGAGAGTGTGTGATTCCAAAAACTTGTTTACACATTTTAATACAATTATCTTTTTTCTATCCATTTGATCGTATTTGTATTCCAATATTACGTGTCGTATGTTATATGCTGGTCAATGGTTTAATTTCAAAGCGTTCGCAGCGTAATTTGACCGTATCCGAGTGAAACATTTGTAACTTTGAAAGTGTTCATTGACCAGATCTATGAAAGCGTTAGAATAGAAAGCGATTGAAACGTTCAGTAAAGTCCGTTTGACTGCACCCATAAATTTACGCGAAATTATACATATGTAATATGTAAGCAACTATAAGATCCAAGTTAAATCGTTTATATAGGCTTTGTATTCGTATTAGAAAAGTATTCCATTAAAAAACTTCATGTTGACCTGACCTTGATAGTGCACCTTATTCAAAATCCGGTATTTCCATCTTCTTTCCTCCCAAAAAACCTAGCTACAACTTTTTTATATAAAACTTTTTTTTGTATCCTTCTTAGTTTCTGAGATATTCGCTTGAGGCGATTAAAATGTCTCACCCTGTATAGGTATGTTATACATGTTATAATAATAAAAAATTATAAAAATATTGTATTGATATAAATGTGCACAGAGTACAAATACCGGTGAGACAAAGATAGATGTCGGAGAAAAGCTGAAGAGATTTGGCGTCGCTACAGTCGTCGACTATAGGGAAGTTCGCCAGTGCTTCATCGAGCCTCGTGCTATATCAAGCATACTTACTATCTTTCTCTCACTCTTTCTGGTCATCTCATTTCTTTCCTCTTCCTTCTCTTTTTCTCTTTCTTTCTCCGCCTCTCTCTTTCTCTCTCGTTTTCTTTCTACCTCTCTTTCACCCAAATTGGACATCATCAGCATTATTTTGCTCTTTGATCATTCTTTAGATAGGGCTCTAAATGTGATATTTTTGACATTTTGGTATGTGAGAACGATCAGAAAATTAACAGGGTAATCGTCGAGCAAATCTCGACAAAAAGGAGAAGGAAAAGAAAACACGATAATGGGCAACGCTACCACGAAAGATTATACAAGAACTGTCACCATTGGCACTAGCTCGAAGAAAACGCGTTGGGATAATCCAGGTAAATTAGTCTATTGTTTCAGCCATTTAATACTATAATTCTTAATAATTTTGAAAAATGGAACATTATTAAGAGCTAAAAGTTTAAATTATCATATCGATTGTATTAACAAAAAAGAAATTACTTTCTAATTTAATGCAATAAATGTTATATTTTGAAATACATCAGCATAAAAATTTTCTCCTTGTTTTCTTTTTTCTTTTTTTCCCGTCATAACGTTTATAACAATAAAATTATTATATACATAATTTTTAAATTTTTAGTAAATGTTTTGATTACTTCCGCAAGATATAATATTTACCTACATTCTTAAATATAAATAATCTTTCTTTTCCATATTATAATTACACTTAATAGTTTTTACTAAAACTTAAACTTAAGATTTCAAAAATTACAAAAATTGTTGTTAATCATATACAATTACGTTCAATTAGTTTCGACAGCAAAATAGTATCTAAAATTAAACTGTTTTACTAACTTTAATATAGAAAAGATTTAAATAGCTTTTGAGTGTATTTCGTTTATCTATTATAACATTGTTATCCGACGTTTATCTTTAACACATAATCAATAAACATTATGCAGAATCAGAATATCTCAAATACTTAATCTACAGATAATGCGCCGGTTTAGTATTCTACTGCACTGCCAAACACGACGCATTTTATTTTGGGAGCGGTACTTACGTACCGATGTTGAAAATCATCTGCTCTATATACATACCTATACAGGGTGAGGCATTAATCGCCTCAGGCGAATATCTTAGAAATTAAAAGAGATACAAGAAAAAGCTTCATATAAAAGTTGTAGATTTTTGGGGGGGAAAGAAGGTAGAAATAACGGATTTTGGATAGGGTACACTACCAAGGTCAGATTAAGGTTAAAATGAATTTTTTTAATGTAACCCCCTATTTTTTTGTTGCATATTCTTGTAGCACATCTTGAGAGCTTTCCAAAACACTATAATAAAATATTTTTTCATGAAGTATTTTCGAGTTATAAGGCTTGAAAATTGTAATACCGCCGAAATTAGCTTTACTCAAAATGTCTCATGGACGACTAAAATCTCTTGAATGTCATACAAGATCATGATCTGGATAATAATTACCAAGATCAAGGCCAATCGAGGTTGCACTCTTATTTTCATTTTTGCAATAAAAGTTCATTTTTAAGTAAATATGAAAAAATAAAAGTTACAATCTCCAATGACTTTGACCTTAAAAAATGTCATGTAAATAATGATTTTAAACAACAATCGAGAGATTTTAGGAGTCATTTAGATATCTTGGGTAATGTTAATGCCGGCGATGCTGTTACTTTAAAGCCTTAAGTATAACTCAAAAAGTACTTCATGAAAAAATATTTTATTATAGTTTAATTAGCTAGAACACTTGCGTGTAAAGCAACCGATCCGGGTTCGACTCCTGGTCGAGGTAATATTTTTCGCAATCGCAATAAGAATTATTTTCAAATTTAGTATTTTCAGATTTAATATAGTTTAACATCGATATAAGAGGCCAAAAAGAGCATCAATTAATTATTAAATTTTGTTAATCAATTTAACCCATTAAGTCCGGGAGATGCACATTTTTTAGTTGATTTTCGACCTTCATTCTCAACAGGAAATAAGATTAATATTGACTTGAAAGTGACCAACCCTACCATTTTCGAGTATGCTTTTTCGATTGGCGTGGTCAAAATTGCATTTAAATTGCTTCAAAAACCAATATGGCCCATTTTAAGTAAAAAATGAACAAAATTTCGTGTGTTTCGTTTTTTGTGAATTTTTTTTCGCATCAATAATGTTGCGGGATCGATGCCTATTCGCAACCAAAAGTGCACAAAATCTATGAACTTTAACTAGAAATTTTTTTGTTTTGCCCCTAATCAACCTAACCTCTTCAAAACGTCAATATGTCGGAAAAATGAACCTTATTTGATCAATTATGAACATTATAGATGAAATTCGTATCTCTAGTGGTATAATTGTCCCTAAAATATAGGTACAGGGGTTTTCGGGGTCGCTGATCAGGAATTTGAGGTTAGATTTTTAAAATTCAAGATGGCGGATCCAATATGGTATACCGAAATTCAATAAAAATACTCCAAAATCGCAAGAAAATGTGTATACGGGGGGTTTTGGGGTCGTTCAGCACGAATTTGAGGCTAGATTTTTAAAATTGAAGATAGCGGATCCGATATGGCCGACCAAACTTCATGAAAGAACTCAAAATCATGCGATAATGTTTATACGGGGGTTTTCCGAAAGAAAATTGATTATTTCCGTCCGTTAGCCGTTTCATATGAACGTTTCCCAACTCAAACCACGTGGAGGTGGACGGCAAGAGTCTTTTTTTTTAACATTTTTAAATTTTTTTATTGTTTTTTTTTTGTTACATTTTTTTTATTTTTTGCTTATAAATTTGTACATAATTGAACAAGCTTCTTCTGTTGATTTTTGAATCTAAAATATGGAGATGGTTATGAAGAGTTTTTTTATTTTCTTTATTCTGTTATATTTTTTTTTTTTTTTATACTTTTGAAATGTTGTTATGTTTTTTATATCTCACTCATAGATTTGTATATTACTGAACAAGCTTGTAATAAACATTGTTTGATCAATTATGAACATTATTGATGAAATTCATATCTCTAGTGGTGTAATTGTCCCGAAAATGTAGGTGCTTTGGCCGTCGTTGATCACGCATTTGAACGCAACAACATTTCAAAAGTATAAAAAAAAAATAAAAAATATAACAGAATGAAGAAAATAAAAAGATTCTTCATATCCATCTCCATATTTTAGATTCAAAGATCAACAGAAGAAGCTTGTTCAATTATGTACAAATTTACGAGCAAAAAATAAAAAAAATGTAACAAAAAAAAACAATAAAAAAAATTAAAAAATGTTTAAAAAAAAGACTCTTGCCGTCCACCTCCACGTGGTTTGAGTTGGGAAACGTTCATATGAAACGGCTAACGGACGGAAATAATCAATTTTCTTTCGGAAAACCCCCGTATAAACATTATCGCATGATTTTGAGTTCTTTCATGAAGTTTGATCGGCCATATCGGATCCGCTATCTTCAATTTTAAAAATCTAGCCTCAAATTCGTGCTGAACGACCCCAAAACCCCCCGTATACACATTTTCTTGCGATTTTGGAGTATTTTTATTGAATTTCGGTATACCATATTGGATCCGCCATCTTGAATTTTAAAAATCTAACCTCAAATTCCTGATCAGCGACCCCGAAAACCCCTGTACCTATATTTTAGGGACAATTATACCACTAGAGATACGAATTTCATCTATAATGTTCATAATTGATCAAATAAGGTTCATTTTTCCGACATATTGACGTTTTGAAGAGGTTAGGTTGATTAGGGGCAAAACAAAAAAATTTCTAGTTAAAGTTCATAGATTTTGTGCACTTTTGGTTGCGAATAGGCATCGATCCCGCAACATTATTGATGCGAAAAAAAATTCACAAAAAACGAAACACACGAAATTTTGTTCATTTTTTACTTAAAATGGGCCATATTGGTTTTTGAAGCAATTTAAATGCAATTTTGACCACGCCAATCGAAAAAGCATACTCGAAAATGGTAGGGTTGGTCACTTTCAAGTCAATATTAATCTTATTTCCTGTTGAGAATGAAGGTCGAAAATCAACTAAAAAATGTGCATCTCCCGGACTTAATGGGTTAATTTGTGATAGTACTGCGGTATTTTATTAGAGTTGCGTGTCAAGACCGACAATCGTTCGGCGCGCAGTTTAAAAAGACATACACTACATATATTAGTAGCATACTACTCTTAAAAAGATATACTACATATATGTATATTAGTATAATATATAAGTTTACACGAAATTATATATAAACAACTAAGATCCAAGTTAGACTGTTTTAAACTTGGTATTCATATTAGCTATGTTCTTACATTGACGGTCTTTAGATTTGAATATTTTTTATTATAATGTTTTGGAAAGCTCTCGAGATGTACTACAAAAATATACAATAAAAATAGGGGGTCTCATTTAAAAAATTCATGTTGACCTTGACCTGACCTTGGTAGTGCACTCTATCCAAAATCCGTAATTCCAACCTTCTTTTTCCCAAAAAAAACCTACAACTTTTATATAAAACTTTTTCTTGTATCTCTCTTAGTTTCTGAGATATTCGCCTGAGAGGCGATTAAAATGATTCACCCTGTATGAGTGTAGTTCTAGCAAGAATATATTTCTTGTGTGACATTAATATTGTGTTCTTATTTCTCTCTAGTTTAAAATAAAAAAGAATATTATTAAACGCATAATTATCACAAAGAAGGTTAATTATTAATTTTGATAAAAATTTAAAAGTACTAAAAAAATTTGGTATAGGTCTTCCGGCTCCACCAGGCAAACCTATCTTGATATCTGGAATAAACGAAATGCAACCGAATGTTGTGGCAATACGATGGGAGAGATCACCAAGTAATGGTGGATCAGCGATTGTCGGATACTTGATCGAATATCAACGTTTGGGCTCTCCTCACTGGATACGAAGCACTTCCGGTCTTTGTGCTTTTCCAGAACTAATTCTCAGTGGTCTTGAGCCAGGATGGCGTTATCAATTTAGAGTCAGAGCACAAAATGCACTCGGGCTTTCACAACCAAGTGAGGTCTCCGAGCCACTCACGGTTACCTTACAAAGGGCCATTGTCGCTTGCGCTCCTCATTTCGACCTAGAACTTAAAGATACGGTTGCACTTGAGAATGAACAAGTAAATAAAGATTATTACACATTAAATCAAATAAAACTTGATACATTTGTAATTTTTCCAATATAGATTGAGTTTGTCACACAATTCTCTGGTATACCATTACCAAAAATCTCGTGGTTTAAGGACGGTTTCGAGATCTTTAGTAGTAGACGTACTAGAATTATTACTGATAATGGAAAGAGTATTCTCTTGATTCATCAGACAGCACTTAATGATGAGGGTGAAATTAAATGTACCGCCACTAATCGAGCAGGTCATGTTGCTACCAGAGCTAAATTGATTCTCAAAGGTAAATTATTAAAATAAAAAATACATAAACATGAACAATAATAATAAAAAAGGGCGAAGTAAGAGTCAAAATTATAAATAAATATACTATCAATTTATTTAAAAAACTTAAGCATATAATTAAATAATCTATAATCATACACAAACTACTTCTACTTAAAAGCTACACAAAAACTACGCATCAGACTATCATGAACTTTAAAATTTATGCTAATAAAGGTTAGATCTATCCAATGACACTATTTACGTACTGATGCTGCTCTCTCTTGGTCAGGCCGACTTATTGAACACTCTAGTACCACATTATTTCTGGATGTATGGAGACGTACATCCTTTTTTACGTTAATATATTTTCGCATTTTATTAGGATTATGAAACAATACCCTTTGATGTCGTTGTTATTAAAACATTAAAGCGTTTTCAATAGAGTCGAAGATGCTAAACATTTAAAAGCAAAAATATAGTTTAAATTTACAAACTAACACAGAAGGTCTTCACAATGCATTGTATATCCATTGTAAATAAAATATAATCTTTCAATATCGTTTACTTGTCTTCTCGCTCGGTCTGTTTTGATCCTTTTTGATTGGATGTTATATTTCTTTATATATTGAACACAAATCGTTATCTATTCAAGTTCACAATATGTCAACTTTATATCTTATATTATTTATATTTTAATTTATATTAATAAGCTATCTATATTCACTGCATTTAAACTAATGATTGTATATTAATTTTAAATTTATTGTAATCTTGTTGATAAGTTTTTTATTTTAAAATTGTGACATATAATTTTCACATATATAGTATATCATATTTTACATCTTTTTACATTAACTTTACAGAATTATTGATTTCATAGTAATGTATTATTAATTTTTTCACTAACAATGTCATGTTCTACAATAATTTTATCCACAAATAAGTCAATTCAAAGTCTGAAAAGGACTCAATCTAGAAGTCGAAACTGGTGAATTTTAAGTATTAATTTTTAAGCATTACTTTATAAGCTTTTAAGTAGATGTAGTTTGATGTATGATTATAAATTATTTAATTATATGCATAAGTTTAAATAAATTGATAGTATATTTATTTATAATTTTGACTCTTACTTCGCCCTTTTTTATTATTATTGATTATTTTTATATAAAGATTTTATATAAAGATATAAAAAATTATTTTTCATTTCATAATTACATAAATATGATTCAAGTTTTAAATAAGGAAAATCTTATTTTTAGTTAAAGCGAATAAACACGATTTTTTTTAATATCGATAAAGTGCTGAATTATTTGTCTTAGCACCTCCACGAATACGATTGCCACGTCAATATGAGGATGGTTTGCTTTTTGAGCAAAATGAGACTATTAGATTGAAAGTATCTCTAGCAGGTAGACCAACGCCTTTTGTCACCTGGTATCATGATGGAGAGCAGATATTCAAAGATACTAGACATGTATTTGAAGTGATGGATGGTGAATCGGTACTAAGAATACCAGATGCTAAACGAAGTGATCGAGGAGAATACACTGTTAAAGTCACAAACAAATTAGGCGAAGATACTACATCTTTTCTGGTCACTGTGACAGGTGATAATGTTACATTAATTCAAACACTAGGCTTTTTTAAACTGTCATAAGTTTGAAAAGTTATATATTTTTTCGAGTTATCAATTTCATCAACAGATCGACCTACTGCTCCTGGTAAAATAGCTATTGCTATGACGCTAGATAGATCAGTGATATTGTCGTGGAAGGAACCAGAAGATGATGGCGGATGTAAAATCGGGACTTATATTATCGAATACTACAGAGTACGTAATTGGAGAACTATTATTTTCATATGTATAAATTTTCAGAAACTTGATAATGATGTTTTAGATTGGCTGGGAGGTATGGCTTAAAGCAGTTACGAGCAGACGCACAACCGTGACATTAACGAAATTGATCGAAGGTTCCGAATATAAATTTCGAGTGAAAGCTGAGAATCCTTACGGAGTCAGTGATCCAAGTGAAGAAAGCGATGTTATCTTCATTCCAGACATTAAACGAAGGTACGAAAGCAACTCAATAAGTTTTTAGAAAAACATAGTAAAACACATCTTTTTTTATTGATTCATCTTTATTTCTCAACATTGTCTCCTTTCAGCTCGATACACTTGATCCAACGATTCTCGAACTTTTTCAAGCCGTCCGAATAATATGATTTGTCCAACCTTTCAAAATAAACCTCTGCTTCGACGATGAGCTGCTCTCTGGTGGTGAATCTCTTTCCTCCGAATCATTTCTTCAGGTTTGGAAACAGGAAATAGTCGCTAAATTTGGCGAGTATGCTGGATGGGGAAACAATTCGTAATGGAATTTGTTGAATTTGGTCATCGGTGGCGGGCAAGTGTGAACCTGTGCATTGTCTTAATGGAAGAGCACTTTCTTCTTCGCCAAATCGAGATGTTTTTTCTTTAAAATGTTGTTGAAACGGTCCAATAAGGCTGCGTAATAATCGCCATTGATCGTTTGCTTCGACGGAAGGTAATCGATATGAATTATACCGTGTGTATCCCAAAAAACTGTGGCCATCACGTTTCCGGCCGACGGTCTTTGCCTCTTTCGGAGCTAGTTCACCCAATGAAATCCATTGTTTTGACTGTTCCATTATCTCGGGTGTGAAGTAATGGATCCATAATGTATCCAGTAATGTATCGACGCAAAAATTCATCTGGATTAAGTTGAAACATCTCCAAACATTATTTTGAAATCGTCACACGATTGCGCTTATGGTCCACAGTAAGGAAACGCGGCACCCATCTTGCCGATAACTCTTTCATACCCGATTGTTCGTGCAAATTGAAATCACTGTGCCATGTGATATGCCTGTGGCGTCAACAAGCTCGCGTACTTTCACTCGTCGATTAATTAAAACAATATCGTGGATTGTAAAAAACTGTATCGATGATTTCTGGCGTAGCAGCCTCAATTCGACATTCTGAACGAGGTGCATCACATGTGGATGTACGACCACGTTTAAATTCATTCACCCAATTGTATACAGTCGCAAGCGCTGGTGCAGATGTGCTATGAACATTATCCAACTCGTCTTTGATTTCTTTCGGCGTTAAACCTTTCATATGTAGATGTTTGATCACTGCACGAAACTCGTCTTTTTCCATTTTGCAAAAAATACATAGGTTGTTCGCTTTAATCGTCTACAGAAATAAAACCTCTCGATGAATTCCACTCAAAATTTGACAGTCATCATCAGCTGAAAGATGTTACTTGTCAAAAAGTAATGTGACATGACACTGCGAGTGCCTTCTGACAGACTTTTTAAGAACTTATTGATTTGCCCTCGTTCTTTTTATTGTCGACAACTATTTATATTTAACATACATTTAGTTATGCAATAATAAATTCATAATTTTACGTTACAGAATCGTAACACCATCTTTAAATGAAAAATCGCAAAGTCATCGAGAGATCAGCAGATCTCGTTGTGATAAACGAGAGATGAGTTCCACTATGCCAACGCAAAGAACTAGAAGTCTAACGAGGGAAGAAATTAAAATCCGAGACGGCAAAAATAATGGTTGCTTTGAATACGACGAGCGATCAGCTTCAGTGCAACGGCTTGCAATGCCAACTTCTACATTAGATAGACCTTTTAGAACAGACAGTAGAGTGACATTTGCACTGGATACTTTGAAAGAAAAACAACCTCCGATTCCTCCAGTCAGATCAAGAGAGCACAATTCCACGAAGCAACAATTTTTTCTTGGAAATCGTACCAATCGATCAAATATTGCGACAAATGCGAGAGATAAGGTAAGAAATAATTAAGTGTAAAACAACGCTATAATTAAATTCTAAATTTAAAAAAAAGATATTATAATAATTTATTTTTAAATATATATATATAGCAAGGTGATATTACAAAAGAAGAAACAACAATGACATTAAAACCAGTACCAACCATGCAGGTCTCTCCTCCAGTTATCGAAGACGATATCACGTTACATTTTATAGCCAAAGAAAGGAGTCTTTCTCCAATCTACATGTCAGGAATTCAAGAACATCGAAGTGAGGAGAATCGTACTACAGCAAACCATCAATTTTTAGCATCTTCGAATTCAATTCCAAAAAAACAGACCGTTACAAACGAATCTATGTTGTTACCATTAGATAATCCGCACTCGCAAAGAATACTGCAAGAGCGTGATGAAAACGCATTACACGGTAGTTCAGAATTTATGCTGGTTCTTTATCCAGAAGATGAAACACGAGAAGATGTAATCAGCATGGAGAACTTTGCAGAAATTCAAGTTGGAAAAATTATAAGTAAGTATGAGTAAAATCATTTTATTAAAATAATTAAAAAAATATAAAAGTTACCTGTGTATATGTCAAGTTTATAATTACCATCCTCTACAGTCTACATTTTATTTTTTCGACAATTTATAACCGAATTAAATTCCATATTAATAATATTAATTCTAAACAATAATAATACCTTTAAAAAAAATTTTTTTACGATTCCGTTTGTTAATTTAGTTTCCGATAAATTTAAACCTATTGCCAATATGTTTAATTGCAAACTTGCATACACTATACTTAACACACTAAAAAAATTATATAAAAAAAGGAAAAGATAATTGGAATATACATATATAATCAGAACGTAATGTATAAAATATCTTGTGAGAACTGTGATATTAGTTATGTGGGCCAAACGAAGAGACAATTAAAAACTAGATTGCATGAACATGTCTTAGATATTAACAAAGATTCAAAATCCCCATCTGTAATAACTAACAATAGAATTGAATTGAATCATAACTTTAAGCGGGATAATGTTGAAATATTATAGATATAGAACCTTCTTACAAAAAAAGGTTAATATCTGAGATGGTTTATATTAAGAAACAGATACACGGTATAAATAGATAAAACGATACAGAGTCATTGCCTAAAATGTACACCAACATGATACATTCCCTTTCCATTTCTTAAATGTATTCCTTTCCTGTTCCTTTCTCGACATATTCTCTGCCATCGACATATCAAAAGACGCGGTATAGTGTCTTCGGCCATGTCCAAATTACCTTATCTGACATAACCAAGAATAATCTTTTTCACTGCAAACTAGTTTAACCAATTTTTATATAACATGGATTTACAATATAATTATTTTGAATTTTTTAATTATTGGACACTGTACATCTTTTTCTTATATAACTGACAAGGTAAAAAATTTTTATATTTACACATCATGTTAGTCTCATATTAAAGATATTGTTAATTTTCTTTTTTTTTATTAGATTAATTATGCTTACGAAATTGATATTTTTGTCTAGAAACACAGAATTATGAAGACGAATTAATTTAATCAAAATTATAATTTTGTATTTATATTTTATGTAACATTGAAAATGACCCGATCGGAGTAGTTGAAACGTTTGTTCTTGTAATTTTTATATCATGAGCATTTGAATTAAAGTTGTTCGTTAAATTACTTGGCTCTTTGCCCTCATTATATTTATACTGTTTTATAATTACTGTTTCAGATGACAAACACAATGTGATTGAATTGTTAGAAGGTGAAAACGATCTTATACCACCACCAATATCGTTATCCCTTCCAGAATTATTTAGCACGCAGCATCAAGTGGTGGAAATAATACGAGAAACCGTTAGCTCTACCGAGCTTCTTCACGAACGAGTTATGGAACGCTTTTATCGCGCAGTTGCTGCTGAAGAGGCATCCGAAACTGCCAAACAAAAGATGCAATTTGAGAAACAAACCAAACTAACACCATTAGATGTCGAATCTGTTCAGAGACCATCGCTTCGAAGGCGCTTATCCAATTATGGCACTACTACGCAAAATTTAATCGCTTCCTGGCAAGCCAAAAAGAATCGGCGAAGATTGAGCGAAGGACAAGCAGATGCATCATTAAAAACATTAAAACTTCTTTCGCCAGTTTTATTACTAGATGTTGAAGCTAGATCAGATCCAAATCTTCCCTCTGAAATGATAACGGCAGACCCTTGGGAAAAGACCAACAAGGTCGAATTCGTGGAACGTTTGCGTAGATGGCACGAAACAATTGTACCATCACTGGAAGAAGTACAACAAGAAAAGTCAATACAAATGTATAATGAAGAGAAGGTAATAATTCCATCATCCATCACTGTAAATAAAGTAGAATCTCAATCGCTAACTCAAACAAAGGAAACAGAGGAGGAGGAAAATATTAGTATTGAGACTTCCGAAGAGTCATCAGAAGAGATCAGTAGTGCAGACAGCGAGGATTTGAAATTATTAAAATCGAGGATTCTGGCAAAACAAATTATTGATGAAGAAGATACTTATCATCCTAGGGGAAAACCAGTTCCACACGTCGAACCAGAACTACCACAGATTTCATACGACGAGCTATCAATTTGTGAGCTTTCACCTCTTTCATCCATCAGAACGGCGGTTACTTCCGTCTTATCTAATAATGTGATGCCTAAGTCAATTCTAAAAAAGCCCAAAGATGAAATGACAATTTCTCAGGACAATTTTGGTAGATTAATTTCTCCGGAGAAACCAATTAGAAAGACATTATCGCAATTGTATCAACAAGAAGATATAAAAAAGATAAATATGGATACTAACAACAAAATTTTAAATCTTTCTAGTGTACCCGAGACTCTTAAGACTCCTACGATGTCAGAATCAGATACGGATAGTATCATATCTGCTGCAGAAGCAGCAAAAAATCGAAGAATGCAATCGAAATTGCGATCCATAACACCTGAAGAAGAGACAGCCGAAATAGAGGCTGTTGTAAATCAATATACTGAGATAGTCCGAGAATATTCGAGTCATTCACGACATGGTAGCGCAGCTAGCTCTCGGCGATCTTCCATTTGCGAAGACCAAAAGTATCGAGTGCTGGAAAAAAATACATCAAAATTAACAGACAAACAAGAGCAAGATGAAAAATTGAAATTAGAAATTAAAAGTACAAATAAAATCAATGAACAAAAAAAAGATAATCAAACACCATATTCTAGGAGAGAAAGCGTTGGTTCTAGAGGTACAACTCCAACGAAAGATACAATGACTGCGAAGCGTAGATCAAACTCCAGGGACCAATCTCCAGTTGCGAGAATCAATGGAAAAATAGAAGATACTTCTTCAAGATCAACTTCAAAGACCAAAAATCGCACAACTTCTAAGGAAAGAAATAATCAATCTTTAGCAAAAAATGATTTAAACGAGCGCGAATTTCGTAGACTTAAAATATCTTCTAGACCTTCCTCGCGCTCCTCATCAAGATCAAGTTCTAGGGAAAGATTTGGAATGACGGTACCAGTAGAATCGAAGGTTGAAAAATTGCAAAAAGCACTTGAAAATAGTAAATATCGAACAATGAGAAAAGAAATTGAAGTAACTAAGGAGAATACCGGAGAAAGAGATTTTAATCAAACAAACGGGAAGTTAGCTTTAGAAGCTAAACAAACAGTCAGATCGGCCATAAGCTATATAACCGATTTGACATTACTAACAGCTGCAATGTATACTTATTTCTTTAAAAAGGAAACTTTGGCGATTCCGTTTATCGTGCTTCTTCTATATCGAAAAGTACAGGAAGAAATACATGGGTGGATACCACGTCGTTGGAGGCGATCTACCAAGAAATATTAATTGACCAACGTAGCATGATAGTCACATATACGTCAAACATTTCGTGTATCAATTAAAATATTCTAAATAATTACCAAAGAGATATAATTTATAATACACTAAAATAAAAATAGCATTATACGCGTTCCTCTCTCTCCTTCTCTCTTTCTATTAAATCACAAACTACTTCATATATAATTATATTTTAATCGAAACTTGTTACTGTTAACTGTTATATTTATAATGAATGTTACTGTACTCTTAATAAATTATATATGTTTTCACACTACATTGAAATATTACTTATTACATGCTCCATTACTTTAAATTTGATTAATACGTTATGTATATTATTATTATTATACATACATGATTACATAATATTCCAAAATTATGTACGTTTTATACTTATTTAAATACACGCACTAGTGATTTCCACATTATCTAGTGCTTCCATACAAAATTTTGCAATACGAGTAATATTTTTTATTTTGTATATTCTGCTAAATTTAATTTACTTAATTATTTAATTGCAATTTTGAAGTGTGCACATATTAGATATAAAACAAGGAAGCAGAAAGAAAAAATTATGAAAAAAGTAAGAATTATAAACGTTACTATATAGGAATTATATTAACAATAATATCGAAAGAAGTTACGGAGATCTCAGACGGCGCATGTGCTTCTTTCGTTAAAACGACAAAGCTGAGAGCATGGCATCGAGACGATTTTAGAACGGAGCAGGGCCTCCTGCCGTCAGACGTTTTAGCATAAGAGTGTGCTGTATTAATATAGGATCAAGACAGAAACAAGTTGGTGACGGTAGTGGCGGAAGACGGTGCAGGTCTTGTCGAGTAATATACGCGTACGCATCTCGGATCTCTGCAAGTAATGTCAATATACGGAAAGATCGTTCTACACAACATCTAACGAGATGACCTTAACAGGTAAGATGCACGATAGAATTGCTATGTAGCAAGTTTACCGGTATAGCCGGTATAGCCGGCAATGACGAGCCAAGATATCTTGATCGATGCAGTTTGATTCATTGATAACATGATGGAAGGTGCCGGATTTTTAATTTTTATATGTCTTATGTGTGGCTTATATGTTTGCAATGCAAAAATGATAGTATGAATTGTTTAATATTATGCAACATATAAATAAATTATTATAATAGAAGTGAAAAAAAAGATATAAATCATGTGTCAATGTATAAAATACATAAAATAGAAATGGTAAATGATGACTTAGCTTAAGAATTCATAAAAAGGAAGTTAATGTAAAAAAATAACAAAAACTTGTATAGCTAGTGTAATAAATATTTATTATTTCAAATGACGAATTTATTTGTTATTTATATATTTATACTTGTATATTTCTTTTAATTCTTACAATTATTGAATGATGTCGCTAAACTTTGTTTTTGATAGCGTCAATTTTCAATTCCACCTTATGTACATGAAGTGTAATTACTTATGTTGTGATATTTTACAGCTGATATAAAACTCATTTACATTACATGTATTGAATGAGTAAGAAATATTTGATTTTATAAAACGTGCTTATATAATATAATAAGTTCATAATTAATGTCTTCACAAAATTATAATTGAATATAAAGATTAACAATGTTTTTTGCTAAAATTTCTGCTAGATATAAAGGTGAAAATTTTTATTTATATTAATGTTGCAATTTGGATGTGCGTATTAGACGCATCATAAAGTATATTTCAGATTGTAAAATTTGTTAGAAAAGAAGCAATCTTTTCTTTTAAAGGAAAATACGATTTTTGAGACTTTGATAGATTGGCTGTACGGTTTATTGTCTTATGATTTTGTCATGCTTTCGTTGTATAGTTGTCTATGTTATTTCACACAGTATATTTTATAGGACGTCTGGAGAACATCCTTAGGACATAGATTGTTCTTTGGACGTCTACAGGGACATCTCTTGGAGGTGTGCGTGCTATATAAGAATATTTTGCATAAATATACTACTACTATTTCTGTAATAATTTTTCAAAGCACCTGTGAGTCTCGAAATAACATTCTTATTATTAAAAGTTACTACTTTTGAACAGAAAGTTTCTTTCCATCATCATATATCAATAAAGAATGATTCTTTAATATAAGAGTCTTTAATATTAAAATAATAATAAACTTTTTTAAATTGTAAAAATTAAAAAATGTAATTAATTTACCGTGCTATGTAAATGTATGTAGATACGTTGAAAAATATAGGGTCACCAGAATGGATCGAAGAAGATCAGATCGTATCAGTTCAAGGATATATAGGTGAAGATATTATTATCGAACTGAAATTGGCTCTATCTGAAAATTATGATGACTTACGATTCGAACTGTAAGTTTATATTAAACTAAATTGCTAACAGCTTTTTTTGTATATATACTTGTTTTTACTGCAACTTTTAATTTGGACATAATGTTTCGTTTTCATATTATCGTTAACTCTTCATACATTGGCCTTAATTTTACATAGAACCTTGGGACGTGCCAAGGATTAAACGCGAGTTATTTTGAGCTGTCGCGCACTTAATTTCGGAGAACCGAATTATACTTACCTCATGTAGCTTTACTCAATATTTCTGCATAGATTACTTTGCTAATATATGCTAAGAATGTAAGCAACATACCTGTATATATCTATATTTTCGACATTTAACATGAATAAGTATCAAAGAAAATAAACAATATAGTATTGTAAGTTAAATGCTTGTAATAGTTGTTTTTCATTGTTCCGATTTAAGCTATTATTTGAAATATATTTTGAAAAGGTATCCGTATATCATATATTTTTGTCTTTATATCTCGAACAAGATGGAAAGATAAATATTATAATAATTGTCATTATCAATTTATCTTTCAATTTATATGCATATGTATTCAGTGTTTTAAGAAAATCAAACAGACATGCAAACCACAAATCATTATATGTTTTCTGCTTCTTATTTTATGCAATGAATTTCGTTGAAAGTACCCGAAAAAGTAAAATGTTTTCACAACTTGAGATTATCTGCGGTACATTTATGTAATGATTTCGTAATATAATTGTAATATTTATTTATGATTCGAATTTACAATGCAAAACCGTGTATATCCTACATATTCTTTATAGTTTAGAATATTTTCATCGTAGTAATAATATAGATAAAATATCTTGATATCTAATAATACAAATAAATTATGAAAATTTTGGTTCTGTGACGTATATCTCTTCTCATGCAACATTACTCTACGTAAGCTAATTTCAACCGCGCTCAAATTTTCATGGAAATATGAAAGATACCCGATGCTCCGCTCAGTCTAGCTACTGCTCAGTTGGCTCTTACTAGCTTCTCTGCGAGATAGCCTATTGCTTAGAGCTTCCTCGAAACTATCTCAACGAACTCGTTTATGGAGGTGGAAAATTGAGAGGGGACAGTTTGACGTTGGCATTTTGCTATCAGTCTAACGCTGAGAGAGCGTCGCGACGACTGACAAATTTTTAAGAAAGAGTTTTAAATCATTTGATTTTAGTGCATTGACATGAGTCTCTTACTTATCAAAAGTTTACAAAAGTGATTACGTGGACCCAATTGAATCCAAATTGTTGAAACTTTAATTTGGAACTCGGTTAATTATTGTTTCCTCCTTCTCCTCCTCTCTTCCTCTATCTCTTTCTCTCTCTCTCCTCTCTACCTCCTCCCTCCTTCTCCCCCTTTGCATTCTTTTCAAGCAATTTTAAATACAAATTGAGTCAAAAATTATGAGTTAAAAATATACCATAAGAGGATTCATCTTCCTATCGTAGATTCCATCTTTAAATATAAATATTTGAAAAAATTCGAAAATCCATGATTGTAAACTTAAAATAAAGATATACAATGACGTGAAAGAATGAAAAAAAAATCAAAATTTACACATCATCAGAAAAACAAATTATCATATTGATGATATAAAATTAAAATTTATTCTTGATAGATTTGAGATATATATCGATGACTCAATAAAACGAATTTGCAGAGCGGCATCGCGCTGTCAGAATTTGATCGACCAATGTATATTCTGCTAATTTTGTCGCTCACGTGGTGCTTGCGGTGTTATGAAGAAAGATTATACGTAACAGATCAATACTTTAGAAATTGAAGTAGATGGCAAATCACTGTTGATATTCTGAAAATATTTTGGATATGTGAAAAGTAAAAATATTAAAGAATTTCTAGAACTATGTCTCAAACCAAAATGTTCTATGTCTGTAAAAAAATGTGAGCAATTTATAGCAGTTATCTCATCGAGAATGTATTCTGACATAAAACAAGAAATTACGTCTTTTATTTTGATTTATCATGGGAAGTGATTGTTGTAAATGCACTAATAGTAAAAAGAACGTTATTATCGAGACCTCCTCCGATGGATCGGAATACCGGTAGGAAAATAAAAAAAGGTCATATAATTTAATTTAATATATTAATTTCTATAAACAATTATACTTTCTTAAAACTATATAATATTATTTGTATTTTTAAACGTTTTGTATATATTATACGTATATATTATTATATTATATATATTATTAGATCTCCTGATCTAACTCCACTCGACTTTTTCTTATGGGGACACTTAAAATCCGTTGTTTATAAAACTCCACCGGAAAATATCAATGATTTACGTCAAAGAATTGTACAGGAATGTAGAGCTATTCCAGTAAATACTTTCCAAAATCTTCGTTCAGAATTCAAGAATCGCCTTTATTATTGTTTAGCAAACAACGGAGAACATTTTGAACATTTGTTATAATAAATGATGATATTTTATACAGTAACTATGCCTGCTATTTCCTAAAATAGTGATCGAACAAAAAAATGTTTCCTACAGAAGTTACTTGTTTTTTTACGTAGAATAAGATCCTGTAATAAAAAATATACATTTCCATTTAAAAAAACAAATTTGACCTTTAAATTACGTTGAAAACGCCCTCCAAATAAAAATTGAGAGTGCCGTTCTCTTTTCCCCTTGAAATCATAGAACATGTGTTTTAACTTTTTTTTTGTATCTTTTATATTTTTCGAGATAATCAGCTGGAAAGTTTTCAAGTAAACACCCTGTATAGCAATCATGTTGACGCTCGATTAATATCAAATATTTAACAAACCTAATATTATTAAATATTCAAATATTATATATATAAATTTAATATTGTGCGTTTAATATATAAAGCAAATAATACAATAATAGAAATTAAATTATATTGGAGGACAATGTCACGTCATATCACGTCCTTACGAGTTCTTACGTCAGATACATACAATTGCATCAAGTTGCAATGCTTGATACATTGGTATATGATATTTTTAGGATCATTCTACATTTCTACTGCTTTTTATACAATATAATAATTTATTTATAAACAAATAAAAGATTGCTTTGTTAGACAACTTTTTTCTTAGTTCTAAACAAGTCTGTCACATTGTGAAAAAGGTGACAAAAATAGGACAACAGAGCAATGCCAAGACTCTAGACCATCCTGTTGACCGAAATATGTCGAGCCAATGTAATATACTTTTATGTAGATGTAGATGTAAAACATATATACATATATGGAAAACGCAACAAAGTAATAGAGAATAGACAAATATTTTAGACAAATGATAATTATAGGAAACTTTTTCTTATTTTTATTTAAATTTACTCTAATATCCGCACTTGTGAAAAATCAATATTATTTGATATATTAAATTTGTAGAATACGAGATGGATTACCAATTTCATCGGATCATTATCAATTATCAATGCGAGGCAATATCGTTCAATTGACCTTGAAGAAATCGCGTAAAAGTGACACGGGTTACTATTCTCTCGTGGCAACGAGACACGGACAAGAAAACGATAAAGGAGCTTTAAAGAAATTCGATTTGAGCATCAACGAACCAAATTACGAAGAGGACGATCCTCCTGTCTTTTTAAGAAGATTGAGCGATCTCGCGGTAAAAGTCGGCACTCGAACTAAATTTCTTGTAGAAATTCGAAGTTCAACCACTTTGAAGGTATAATTTACTACATAGAGATAATTTTATTACATACTAACAGAGAACAATTTGTACGTTTATTAAAATATTAATTTAATTACATAATTTGTACATTAATAAGAGAAGAAAGTTCTACTTAAAAATATACTCCTGTCCATAACATCACATAAGATACCTGTTTAACATATAAATAGATAACATAATATTATATAGTTAACTATTACGATCAACCCGGAAAGTTGGAACTCTGATAATGCTATAGCAGTGACTTATTGTCAGACATGTCTTCCTAGTACCAGATAAATCGAGAAAAGCAAACTAAGTTGGACCGGGAAGTCCATGACCTGAACTCGCGACGAAAGACGAAGAGTAAAGGAAGCTGGTTACGCTTTCTAGTGCGTCGTATTAATACTATTATTACGCATGCTCGCATACTACACCAGAAAATATGTACTCCGATGTTTCTTCGTATATATACTTCGACATTGCCTTTTCCGCTATTTGCAAAATAGTCTAATATATTATAACTGTGTGTTACAAATCGTATTTTATATTTGTATATAAGATATTATTGCAATAAAGTAATAAGACTTTTTAAAAGTAACAGATTTTATTATATTACATTTAAATTAGGTTCACTAACTTTCAGATAACTTGGTATAAAGATGCCTCGCCTATTCAAAATGGTCCTAGATTCTCTCTCATTCACGAAGGAAATTTTCATTGTGTTGATGTCGTCCCAGTTACAGTTGAGGATCAAGGATGTTGGACTTGCATAGCGGAGAATCGTAGTGGAAGATCTTCATGTACTTCTACTCTCACCGTCATTGGTAATCGATCACTTACTCTATTTGTTCGATATTTTTAATTTTGATCACTTTAGATTAAAACAATATAAAAATTAATTCTGATAAATCTAATAAATCTTTAGTTCCCAAGGCTTACAAAAAGCCAGAATTTGTTGAAGAACTCCGCGCACTGCTTACTGAGGCAGGTACCGTGTCGTTGGAATGCAAAGTAATCGGTGTGCCTACACCGGTATTGAAATGGTTTAAAGACAACAAGGAAATCAAAGCTGGCGACGTTTTTGCCTTGACTGCTAATCCCGATGATCCGACATCTCTCGGTGTTTATACATGTGAGGCGGTCAATTACATGGGAACGGCCTACTCCTCCTCAAAAGTAACGATCCTTTTATATTTTCTAACATCAATTTCATTAAACGTATCATAGATACGTTATTTTATCAGCTGATTGAAGTTTGGAACATTCTTGGAGCGATTTTTTCAAAACGATTTCATCCATTTCTCCTTTTGCACAGATAGGCCAGTCATTTAAGACATTTGAGGTCGAAAGTGATGATAATTTTGTCTTTCCTTTTCTGGCATGTCGGGGGTGCTGAGAAAAGCTTATTTCTCAGTTGTCGTATCCATAGGCCTTACACATTTTATAGGGGGGCGGGGAGAAGGGTAATAAGTGTTTTTTTGCAATAACTCGGTTAGTTTTGATCGAAAATGAACGTGTGACCTCTCATTTTGTAGCTCTTTTCAAGCCCTACGAAAGACCTCTAGACGACCCTAACCTTAAAATTGATAGTTTTATAGATATAGCCGAAAAACGTAAAAAAAAGTTTTTTTTTGTTTTTTCATATTAGCTCGTTTCAGTGAGTAGATGGCGAAATTCCGTTCCTTAGAAAGATGTAACCCTTTAAATTTCCTTCAATTTGAGCTATTATTCGTTTTGATTCGATGTATATTAAGCCCAAGGAAGACTTTGGAAGTTGCGCTCTCCGCGTGCCGGCGCGACGTCGAAATGGCGGACGTAATGCGTAATGCTTGGAATCAAACGGGCTTTTCGCTTACAACTTTGAATCAAAACGAATAATAGCTCAAATTGAAGGAAATTTAAAGGGTTACATCTTTCTAAGGAACGGAATTTCGCCATCTACTCACTGAAACGAGCTAATATGAAAAAACAAAAAAAAACTTTTTTTTACGTTTTTCGGCTATATCTATAAAACTATCAATTTTAAGGTTAGGGTCGTCTAGAGGTCTTTCGTAGGGCTTGAAAAGAGCTACAAAATGAGAGGTCACACGTTCATTTTCGATCAAAACTAACCGAGTTATTGCAAAAAAACACTTATTACCCTTCCCCCCGCCCCCCTATAAAATGTGTAAGGCCTATGGATACGACAACTGAGAAATAAGCTTTTCTCAGCACCCCCGACATGCCAGAAAAGGAAAGACAAAATTATCATCACTTTCCAGCAAACGCCATTTTTTTGTCTTAAATGACTGGCCTAAGAGATACCTCTGCATGCCAAACCATAAATAAAAAACACCCCGTTTGAATACATGCGTCAGAAGAAACCTTTATGGGCGAAAAATCACTCTTGGGACAACTTAATAATTTTTTAAAAACCTTCTTTAAAAAAAAATTTTTGGATTTTTAAGAAATTTGTTAAATTGTCCCAAGGATGGTTTTTCGTTTTGAAAAAATCGCTCCAAGAACGTTTCAAACTTTAATCAGCATATTTTTTCTTAGGTTCACGTAGTTGGAAGAGGAAACCGAGAAGAGTCATTAAAATCGGCAGATGCTTTGGCACTATTTGGACTTCTTCCGATATTTAAACAAATTCTTCAAGATGAATGTTGTCGGATTGGAGACACTATAATACTATCTTGTCGTGGTAAATTAATTAATAATAATTCTTTGTATTTTTACTATTATTTATCTCTCATACTAATAAATAAAACATTATCAACAATAATAGTTCAAGTACCACCCTGGCCAAAAGCGATCTCCTGGTACAATAAAGAAGGCCGTATTGAGTCTAGCGAAAAGTATCATGTAATGGAGGATGGCATAGGAGGATATTCAATTGAAATAAAACAAGTAGAAGCCATGGACGAAGGTGAATGGAAATGTGTCGTCACCAGTGAAGAAAATATAAAACAATTTACGAGTTGTTATGTAGCAATGTCTAGTACGTATTATAATAATAAGCAAACTATAATTTATAACGAAAAATATAATTATTCTATTAACATTTATCTTACTTTCTATAAAGTACCAAGAAACTATAGGAAACCCCGCTTTATGGAAAATCTGAATGCAATTTTGACAGAAGAAGGTCTTGTCTCGTTCGAATGTAAAGTTGTAGGATTCCCAACGCCATTGCTGAGATGGTTTAAGGACGGTCAAGAACTTAAACCAGGAGATGTTTATCAATTAACTGGGACTAATTCATTAGGTACGCGCATTCGTTAAATTTATTATACAGGGTGGGCTATTTTAATCTCCCCACCTGAATTTCGCGAAAACTAAATCCTGTAGACAAAAATGTTTCAAATAAAAATGGAACGGTATCTAGAGGGACACGTTTTAGTCACGTTGTTTTTTTTCTAAGTGGAGGCGCTAAAAAGATATGAAGGTCACCTCCACTTTTTTAAATGGAATTATGTAATTTTTTTTAGATAACGTGATTCCTCTAATTATTTTACATATAAAAGTATTAAGGTAGAGATACCAAAAAACCAATAGTTTTCGAGATATTTTACACTTTATTTTGATACATATTGACACAAAATGTTAAATAACTCGTAAACTGTTGACTTTTTGATTATCGTACCTTAATACTTTTGTGAACAGAATAATGAGATAAATCAAATGGTGTAAAGAAAACACATAATTGCTTTAAAAAAAAATGTATACAAAATGAATAATTTTTTAAATACGCAACTATGTGTTTTTTTTATACCACTTGATTTACCTCATTATTCTGTTCACAAAAGTATTAAGGTACGATAATCAAAAAGTCAACAGTTTACGAGTTACTTAACATTTTGTGTCAATATGTATCAAAATGAAGTGTAAAATATCTCGAAAACTATTGGTTTTTTGGTATATCTACCTTAATACTTTTATATGCAAAATAATTAGAGAAATCACGTTATCTAAAAAAAATTACATAATTCCATTTAAAAAAGTGGATGTGACCTTCATATCTTTTTAGCTCCTCCACTTAGAAAAAAAACAATGTGACTAAAACGTGTCCCCCTCGATACCGTTCAATTTTTATTTGAACCATTTTTGTCTACAGGATTTAGTTTTCGAGAAATTCAGGTGGGGAGATTAAAATGGCCCACTCTGTATATTATTTTTTTCTCTCGTCTCTACTTAAGTCATAGATTTATTAAAAAATATTTAGGCTCTTATTGCTGTATCGCGAGAAATTGCATGGGCGAAGCTAAGAGTACCACAGAATTAACCATCGAAGACATACAAAATCAATTAAACGAAGAAGAACGTTTCCAACTGTTAAGCACTAATCTACCACCGAAGTTTATAAAAGGCCTCAGAAGTTGTGAAGCAAAAATAAACGAAAATTTTCGCTTTACAGTACAAGGTATCCCGATTTTTTTTAATACATAAGTAAAAGTTAAGTTGTTGAATAATTGTTACCCTATCTCACACATTTTTACATCACACTAATAAACATATTTGTTTCCTTAGTAAGCATAGCACCGAAACCAATCCTTTCTTGGTACAGAGATGATGCAATAATGGACGAATCTGATAAATATCACATGGCAAAAGAGAATCTTGGCACATGCCATTTTGAAGTACAAAATCTCGAATTTATTGATCAAGTGAGTATTCATGACATATATATAATACAATCATATTTGCTGTAATATAAAGACCATCATAAGCGTTTTTTTCACATTTCTTTAGGCTGAGTGGAAGTGCGTAGCGGTAAACGATTTCGGCCATAGCGTTACTTCTTGTTTTTTGAAACTAATTATTCCTAAGCATTACAAAAAACCGAAATTTCTCGAGAATCTACGCGCGATCTTATCGGAAGAAGGCGCTGTAAATTTAGAGTGCAAAGTTATCGGCATTCCACAGCCAGTTTTAAAATGGTACAAAAACAACGTTGAACTCAAGCCCGGTGATATACATCGAATTATTTCTGGACAGGATGGCACTTGCTGCTTAGGAATATATACTTGTGAAGCTACCAATTGCATGGGAACAGTCAGTAGTTCCGCGTCTTTACTAGGATTTGAAGGTAGCATTTACCTAGTACACATAACAATTTTTAATTAAAAATTAACTTGGAAAGAAAAGGGCACTAGGAGTTAAGCGTAGATAACTTCACGCAACGCCGATATATATCTAGCAAATCTATCTATTATAAAAAATTATTAAATAAATAAGCTTACATGTTTCGATTCATTTTTGAGTCTTCTTCAGAGACAACAAAATTTTCATAAATAAATTATAATTTAAAAAATAACAAAGATAAAAAAATGTTTAATTATAATGAGCTCACTCACAACCGAGAAATAGATTCAAAAGCTAGGTCAGTCTCGCTAGTGCATAGTGGTGAGTCGTCTCATTTGAATTTTGCGATTTGATAATTTAATACCGTCAAACTATTTGCTGTGACTCACTGTGTTTGAGACTGACTGGCCTAAATTGTTCTGAAGACCGGTTTTGAGATTGTTTTGCGATGCAGTATCGTGGTGAACATGGTGATTCTCCTCACTCCCGAGAGGTAGTTGTAATTTCATAAATTTAATTTGGAAATGATTATTTTTCTTTGACATCCTGGAAAATTAATTTCCCATTTTTTCAACTTTTTTTATTTTTTTCCTTTCTTCCATTATTATATGCATTTCATTGTGCTCCCTAGGATGAAATTGTCTTTTGAATCTATTTCTCGGTTGTGAATGAGCTCATTATGATTAAACATCTTTTTATCTTTGTTATTTTTTAAATTATAATTTATTTATGAAAATTTTATTGTCTCTGAAGAAGGCTCAAAAATGAGTCGAAACATGTAAGTTTATTTATTTAATAATTTTTTATAATAGATAGATTTGCTAGATATATATCGGCGTTGCGTGAAGTTATCAACGCTTAACTCCTAGTGCCCTTTTCTTTCCAATTTAATTTTTGATTTATACAGGAGTTTGTTATTTAAGAATTAATAAATTTTTAATTACTATATCACTGATATGATGATAAATATGAATTTTAGATGACACATCATCGATTTAAATTATTTTAGATATGTTGTAAAGGAGAGTGTCCTAAGTGATTTCCTGCAAAAATTGAGTAGGGGACGGCATTAGTTTAGATGATATGATAAATTAAAGTTTCCTAATAAAATCGCTTCACATGGAAGTCGTGCTCCTAAAGTAGAGAGGGAGGTGAGGTGGGAGTCGACTTTACGTAAAAAGTGGTGTTCCTCTTGGTAGACAAGAGTGAGATGGACTTGTGTGTGAATGTCCCAGCTAGCAAGCTCACGTGATAATGACGTGATTATGAAGTGATTTTGATGACAATGCCGTCAAGTGACATAAATGAAACGTTATTTTGACGTCATTTGTAATACCAAAAGTTGACGTCACCGATATGACGTCAGCTAGATGTTACATTGACGTCATATATATGACCATTACTGATCAATTATTTTTTGTTATTATTTGTGTATTATTATTTGATGTATCATTTTATCCTTTAATATTCGATAAAAAACAAGGATAAAATGATATGTCATGCGCATTACACTTGCGGAATGATACATACACTAATACATACACTAATACATACACTATCATATATAAACACATAAACCATCTGTTTTTAATATTTCCATTGAACAGATATATCACAATTATACAGACGTTGACATATACAAATTCGTGGGTCATCGAAGTACAGCAGTTCCCGTACGATTGTCAAGGTCAAGCATGCGAGGTCGTGGTATAACTTCGGATGGGTAACCGGCCGTTTGGGAAGCATCATGAAAAAAAATTAATTCTCGAATTTAGAGGAAAAGTTTTTTTTTATTTTATTCTAAAATTGATGCTAATTATTAATACTTATTTTAACAATCTAACAGTAATTTAGGAAAAACTGACCGGTATTCTATTTAAATTTCTACACGAAGTATATACGAATTTACTACTGCATTATTGCACTAGTAGTGACACTAATAGTACTTTTTAGTCATATTTACGTCTCCCTGACGTAATAAAATAACGTCAATAAGATGTGACATAATCACGTGTGTACGTCAGAATAATGTTACTTTTATGTCATAATTGACGTTATTTGTACCAAAAATTCACGTCATTATCACGTGACTTTGCTAGCTGGGGTGTTCGTGAATAACTTTTCGATTGATGAGAAAATCTAATAATTTATTCTTATTATCAATAAGACTTAGAAATTCGTACAGTCACATATAGAACGCTATTAACAAACTGCGAGAAGTACGTAGACTGTTCCTAAAATACTTGTGACTTTCTGTGATTTTCTGACTTTTTTTACATTTTTTAAGAGATTAGTACGGTATATACAAACTTCACGATACGTATTATATCTCTTATACTAATATTATCTTCTACATATAAAAGAACTTTAATTTACTACATCTCCTAAATCAATGTCGTTCCTCACTTAATTTTTGCAGAAAATTACTCAGGATACTCTCCTCTACAACATATCTAAAGACACTTAAATCGGTGATGTGTCACATATAATGCACATTTACCGATATGATAATGCTCCTTTATATATGAAAAGTTTTTCTCAACAATTCCGTTTTTACTTTTTGTTAACATTCCAAGTGATCTTTACATATATATGTAACTTTATTTTAAAGATAAAATAGATGCAAAAGTAATCCAAGCATCAAATGGTCATGAGCTAGCAAGAAACTTATCGTTGTCAACAATACATGAAGAGCGAACTTCTCAATTGTATGACACACCACAAACGGATCATTCCGTTACTTTAGATGAGCGGGGCGAGGTATCTTTTAGCTTTGATGGCAAAGAGGTGTCAGTTAGTTTGTACGAAACACCTGATCTTACTGAAGAAGAGGCACTACAGATTGTTGAAATGTACGCCGATCAGCTGTCTGAACACGTTACAGGTAAAAAGATTGATTTGTTGATTTAGCAAAATATATTAGGTGTATAAATTAATTCTCGGCCCCTACCTTTCAGCGACCTTAGAACCAATTTAAGTTGAACTCCCCCCCCCCATAGTCATTTTGAAGTACCATTTTTTAGCTTTAAAATGAGGTACAATGTTTCATTCTCCTGTGAACCAAACCTGAAAAATCAGCACACGATGTCGTTCAAAGAGCAACATTTGAAACATTGCCCTTTTTTTGTGTTTCAACTTAGAAAAAACGCGGCTAAGGCAAAAGAAATGATTTGTTCGGCTTTGAGCGAGAATGCTGTATCGTACAATAGAATAAAAAATTATTCCAACAGTTTCGAGAGAGAAATTTCGATCTTGAGGATCGCCCTAGTCAGACGTGGAGTTGAAGAAAATTTTGAACGAGAATTCTTGTCAAACGCAATTAGAACTTGCAAATACGCTTAAAGTAACCCAACAAGACGTTTCCTACCGCCTAAAATAGCTAGGGAGGTAAAAAAAAAAAAGACCGAGAATTCTCATTTGTACATCTAATAATAGTATTAATTATACTCTAATCTAAAAGGCTACATTTTTGTATAGAACACAATGTGATCGAGTTACCACCAATGAGATTTGTCAAAGAAACGTCTACGACCAGTAATTTGGTAATGGAAGCTGTAATAATTGATATATCTCCTGATTATTTTGTAAGCGCGGAAGACGATGATTTACGAACAGAAGCTGATTTCGAAGATGTCTCTATTATGGATGATGTTAACGTCCTCTCGTCACTTGATCGCGATTCTCGAAGTTCCTTGAAAAGATCAGTTCGATATAACGAGGATAAAGACGAAAAAGTTCTTAATAAACCACCTAGAAAAAAATCAATGAGTTTATCATTATCAAAAAGCGAAAAAAGCCAACGCATAGAATCGGAAAGCTTCCATAGTACACAGAAAGACGAGCCACCATTATCTCCGCTTTCGTCTTTGAAACAGGATGACAGCGACACTTTTGCGGACGCCTTATCCTCTCCACATTTCTCCATCACAGAGAGTTTTATTCAAAAACAGTTAACATTGAAACATGGAATAACAGATAACAGAAAACGCAGTTTAAGCGCAGAAAGTTCACCTTATTCCAGTCTAGACGATGGAATCGGTTGTGATTCTTCTGTCGATTCAATGGTCGGTGTTCCTAAAAAAAAGCAACGAAAAAAGAAACAACAGAAGGATAAAAATAATTCTGAAAAATATTCCGGCCCTAGTAACTACGATCAAAAGAGAAGTGAATCGGAAGATAAAATTGATATGCAGATGAAATATCAATTTATAGAACCAATTGAAGAAATGGATAACAGAAACGACATCGAAACAGTAAAAGAATTATTTACTAAAGAAGAATTGTTAGATAATTTAAAAAACGTAAAGAAAATTAACAGTCATATCTCAGAAGAGAATCAAGAATCGACACAAGATATTCTTTTTGAATCCAGAATAGCTCTACGCAGCTCTTTAAAGCTTTTGTATAACAAAGTATTCGATGTACCACAATTTTTAAATATTTATAAGCGAATTGACGATATATGTCAATTATTGGAAGGTTCAAGAAGAACAGGTGTGGACATTGAAATCTTGGCTAATCTGGATGCATTGTTACAAGAAATTAATGAAATTACACCAATAGAACATATAGAAATTATTCTCAATATTCTCGAACCATTTATCGCTAAGTTGTCACATGTTATTAAAAATTTTGAATTACTATCTTTACAGCCGACGTTTGCAATTTTAAAAAAATTTAACGATGACATTTGCAACATTTCTGAAAGAATAAACAAATTATCATCGCTAAAATCAATTTCTGATATGTCTCAAAATATATCTAAGGAAATTGAAGAACCATTAATCAATGTTCAATTGATATTTAATAGGATTTTAGATTATATCGAACAATCAAAGCTTACGATAAATGGATCTAGCAGTCCACAACAATTTGTGACAGCGTCGGATCTTATTGCATGTTTAACAGAGTTGAGAGAGTGCGTATCTCACACAGCACACACTGCGATGACATTGAAAGAAAATGAAATCTTAAATAGTTTGATGGAATTTAAGGATCCCTTATTGCATCTTCAGTTAACTTTAGCACAAAGATGTACTTCTAGTGAACTTTCGATGACACAGGAAATAAATTTTGTCATTGTAAAATTAAAAAATGTTGTTAACACCATACTGAAAAAATTTGAAAACCACGATATAATTTCTCGAATAGAAGGAACTCTCAACATATTGAAAAATATCGACGAACAAATATCGGAATTAGTGGAACAGTTATCGAAAACGAAAATTATTCAAAATATGTTAAAGGATTTAAACATTGATCAAAGTTTAAGCAATGTGCATTTTGCTCTATCATCCGTTTTAGAAAAGCAAGAAAAGTATGTAACTTCATGTCATTTAATTACAAGTATTGAGGCATTACGTCAGACAATCGGTTCTTCGGCTGTTACAATTGCTAATTTAAAAAATCCAACTGATGATGAAATAATTCAAGAAATTAGCAAACTAAGTGAATCATTGTTAAATCTACAGAGAGATTTATTAACGGAAAAGCACGAACCACAAGAAGAACAAGTTCTTAATGATTTGATGAATCCCATCAGTATATTGAAAGAGATAATTCACAATGTAATTGAAAACAGTTCTTCGATTGAATTAATAGTACCCATGTTGGAATTATTGGAAGATATAGAAAAGGATACGGCTCTTATAACAAAGGAAATATCAAAGAAAAAACATGAAGAAAATATTACTCAATCTCAAAGAGAAAATAAAGAAGAAAGAAGTTATTCAAAATCTAACTTGGTTAGCCAAATAGATCGTTCTTTAGATCCTATTAAAAATTGGTTATCTGCTACATCCGAAGATAGTATAAAACTATATGAAGATGAAACGAAATCTACATTAAGCTTAACAATTCAGGAATTGAAAAGAAATGTAAATCAAATTGTTATTCGAACATCATATTCTGAATCACCAAATGATGACAGTTTGATAGATGCATTGATCGATCTTCGAGAACCCCTACTACGGCTTAAAAACGCAATTTCTGTATATCACGATCCTGAAGATCTTGCAATTTTAAAAAATTTGGATTATCCTATGAAATATCTTTTGCAAACAATCATGGATATTCTTCGTGAACATGCGGAAGAAGAATCTATACAACCGATAATAGATATCATCGAAGAAATTAAAAATCAAATACCGTTTTCAGTCAAATATCTTCATCAACAAGAGTTTAAACAAAATGCTAAACCATTTAACGTAGGAACGGAAGAAATAGAAGAAGAAACTGTTACAGCTTCTCGAGAAACAATTCCGGGTACTCTTACAGAAGTTGCTTCAACACCATTTGAAGCTGAATCTATCTCATTACTTATCGAGCAAGCTATAACAAAAAACAATTCCAGTGATGTCATTTTACAAACCATAAAAAACGAAAAGCAGGAAAGTGAAGAGGGTGCAAGCAAATTAATTACGATCTTGTCAGAAACTTTAGAAAAATTACAATTGGAAATAACTAGTATATTAGAGGATTTCGAAGAATCAACACAATCTACTACAATTCCCCAATCGAAATTAGCTACTTCCATCGAAGAGTTAAGAAGGACAATTTCCACAATACGCGTAATAACCGTTTACAATACAGAAACTGCTTTATTTGAAGAAAAACTTAATCAAACTTTGATGTTGACTAATTTAATACAGCCGTTAACAAATATACGAAATCTCCTTTCTAAATCCCACGAACACGACGTTTCAGAACTTATGATACTAAATCGATTTATTCCATTATTGAATATTATAGAAAACAACGTAATAAGACAGATAAAAAATTTTATCGGTAAAGATAAAGATATAGAAGAAGAATTTGAGTTTCTTCTATACATACTAGAAGAAATCAAAACGAAAATTCCAATTGTAATTCAAAAAATATCATTAAGACAAAAAATTTTAGAATATCTCTGGAACATCTCAAAACCATTAGAAAATATTTTAGAACGTATGAGTGATCTAGAGAAAGCTGCAGAAGAAACTCTCGAAACTGATGTAGCAAATATTTTAGGAAAACCAATCGCTGCTCTTTTAGAAGATATTAAGAGTACCATTCAAAAAGTAGATATGTTAGAACGACGAGAACCATTAATTTTCGAATTACAAAATCTTCTTGAGCCTCTATTAGAATTTCACAGTTGTCTTTCAATGGTACAGAGCAGTCGAAGAAGTTTAGTTCCTGAAGATTCCTTATTAGATGAGAAGAAAAGCGTTATTTTGCGAGCAGTTGATGGTTTGCGAAAACAAGTTTGTCACACCGTTGAAATAATTGCAAATATGGAAGAATCTCTTTTATTTAATAAATCTCTGACATTGCTCAATTCTGCTATTCTACAAGTACAAAAACAAATTGGAAAGACAGATTATTCACGTCGATCTAGTAGTACCAATATTTCTCTTCAGTATCGACTTACCGGCACACTGAATCGCTTACATAACGCTATAATAACTTTAAAAGAACGCACTGATAAAAATACGTATGATATAGTGTCTAACTGTTTGGAAGCACTACAAAAACAAATCTCTTTTGCACAAACGCAATTTAGGCAAGTTGGTAGTGAATTAATTGCCGAAGAAGCTATCGTAGAAGGCTTTCTTTATCCGACTAATCAACTTCTGTCAGCATTAAACATTCTAAAAGAAAATGTGGAGCAAATGCCTTCGGCAATTTCGTACAATTTAATAGTTCAGTTTCAAGAACTAGCTGCCTCTATTTCAGAACTAAGTTCTTCCCTATCGGATCACAAAATAATACTTGTTCAAGAAGGTGCTTTTGAAGGCGCACCAATCATAGAGACTTTTTCTGCTGTTATAGATGTTTTAAACCACGTGAAAGATTCTATACATGTTATAAAGAAAACAGTTGAACAGAAAAGGAGCATGATTATTACAAATGTAGAAAGTGTCATTAATGAAATTATTGAGGTATCACAAGAAGAAGCTGAGAGTGTAATGATGAACACAGAAATGTCGTCATCTAAAGCAATAATTCAAGAAGTTGTTCAATCTGAAATTAAAAATACATCTACGACGGTACAAATACCAATTTTAGAAGATCTAGAAACAGTAATTTCCGTTGAACAATCAAAAAATGATCTAGCGGATGTGAGAAAAAACAAAAAAAATCAGGAAGAAAATGAAAAAGGAAAACATTTGACAAGTGAAATAACAAAATTTAATTCCGTGATAAGTAATTTAATACAACCGTTAAAAGAACTGATTGATCTTATAAAATCTGCTAAACAAGAATGTCTGACTTCAAAATCTGAGGAAGATAAGCGAAAAATACAAGAATTAACAGCCTTAATACAAATTCTTAACGATCTACAAGCTACAAATACTTCTATTAAGACAGTAATATCTTTCTCGTCTATCAGTATATTATTAGACAGCCAATTCTCTCATATGGAAAATATTCTTGCTGATTTTGAACGAGCTGCCAACACGATTATTTTCTTGACTCATGAAGGACTAAAACCAGAATTAAAAGAGACCATTATAGCGTCTTTACCACTCATCTCTAAACCTTTAGAAGCTCTTGAAAATGTATTGACATCTATATATCAAACAATAGATAAAAACAAACATATTAACAAAGATGAAGAATTATCAGCAATCCCGAAAATTTTAATATCATATATTAATGATGCTATTAAATTTCTAAATGAAATACAAATATCAAAATGTGTTAGTATTGCTGATGATAAAGAAATCAAAATATCGGAAATAAAGGAAGAAACAAAAGCTGTTGAAGAAACAACTGCGCAATGTCTCGAAGAATTCATAGAAGATACAATGGAATCTCAGAAACAGGTACAATGTGACAAGACTTTGCTTTTAGATTCTAGTTTATCTTCCACGGATATGATTGAATCAAAAGCCATTGATAATTTAAAACCCGTCGAAGCAGAATTAGGCAAAACACTTACTAAAGAAATAGATGATTCAATTAAACAAGATGCAATAGAGATACCACAACAAGAATTAAAATCTTTAGAGTCCAGTCAAATTGAAGAATTACTTCTTGAAAATATAGAAGTGATAAAATCGGTTACAGAACCTTTAGAAAAAGTTGAAAAACATGATTTAGCAACGACTGATGAAGAAAAGTTAGTATCAATTCAGATATCTGAAAACAGTATGATTCAGAAGGAACAAATAAAAGATGAAACTTTAGAAGCGATTATTTCTTCTCTTCAAACATTGTATAAATCATTTAATGAAATTGGAGAAATAAGAATTTTAGAACCTTTTAATAAAAAAACAATTACATTTTCAAATTTGACAAAACAGTTACTAAATTTACAACTTGAATTACCATCTAAAGTTACCGAAGGTATTAAAACAAATACATTAACATTACTAAAATTATCTGTAAAAGTTTTAGAAGAATTACAAACGTCAATTGCTACAGTTCAAGAACAAATGCAACTTAATGCTACTAAAACCAGTTCGAATGAAACGTCTAAGTCATTTTTACTACAAGCTGTTATGGAACCATTAAACGACTTGAAAATGTCAATTGCTTGCATGCAATCTGATTCAACAATTATTCAACTTATTCAGCAAGAAGCAGAATTATCAAATGTTAAACAAATTATGATTTTGCAAAATCTTGTTCAATCAGTGGTGGAATGTAGTGAAAGATTTATACATATTATTAATCAGGTGAAAATAGAATCTGTCCCACCGTTAAAAATTATTAAACAAAAAGATCAAGGGTTGGATCCAAAGGTTTTACATAAAATTGTTGATTCAATTCATATTTTACGAGAAACACTTTCTCAAATCAAAAACCTTAATATTTATAAAGCTGGATTATTAGAAATGCCGGAATGGAAAAAAGAGATCGCTCAGTTAGGTATAGTGATAGATTCTTTTGAAAAATTAGAACAATTATTACTTATAGATACGCAACAAATTGTAGTCATGGAAGAGGAAGAACATGGTGAAAGTCAAAATTTATTAAGAACAAATCTAAAACTTGTCTTAGAGGAACTGAGAAATTCGATTATTTTAGTTCAGGAGCAAACAATTTTGAATGATGTTCCTATGTTAAAAACGTTGAATAAAGTTCTAGAAAATTTAAAATTACCGTTAATAACATTTAAAGAACTTGTTGATTATAATGATAAAATTACTGAAACTGAGAAAAAATCAATTTTATTATCGTTTGCAAACTCAGTGGAGGAAATAACAAGTCAACTAATGGTTACAAATGAACAAGATGTAGAAAAGCAAGCAATTAGTGAAGCTTCTCTACTAAAAATAGTGACTATTCCAATTGAAGAGCTGCAAAGTGCAATATTAAAACTCGATGATCAAATATCCCAAACGTTAGAAACAAGAGAATCAACAAAAGCTGTTACTTTAGAATATATGATACAACCATTGCAAGAATTACAGCAATCATTCTTAACTGCATCTTATGAAGAAACCGACCTTACCTTGCAACAATTGTCAATCAAATCGATATTGGATAATTTGAATAAATCCATGACAATAATTCTAGATCAAGTGTCGATAATTCAGGATAATGTACTTATGGATATAAATACAGATGATTTAGTAACATTGAAGGATTTTGCTGGATCACTTAATAATTTAAAAATGTCGATGGCAGTTCTGCAACAATTGAGTGTAATAGAAACCGCTGATCGGCAAATTGCAGAGATTGAGAATGCATCCGCGCTGCAAGCATTCGTGAAATCTATCATAGAGTTCAATAAATGTTGCTCCATTATTGTTAAACGGCCGAGAATTATCGAAGCTTTTACAAATATAGAATTGAAACAGTCCAATCAAATAGATACACATCTTATTGAAAATATTATTGTACCTTTGCGATTATTACAAGAGCAGATTCTAACTATTAAAGAAATAAAAATGCAAGAATCTGAAATTTTGAACGTTACGGAAATAAGAAAACCAGTTACTGTGTTAAGCAGTCTTGTTAGTCCCTTGCAACAACTTGAAAAATCTTTTGTCGCAACGGTGCAAAAGGAGCATATTATTGAACACGATACACACAGTCTAATAACTGAATCATCTTTTGTAAACCTAGAAAAATTTGCTCTACAACCTATTCTTGAGGAAGTACAAAAGTCTATTGCTATTGTACAAGAACACGTAATATTAGAAACAGGAAGTCAAATTACATCGGAAGTAGAAACTGATACTTTACTGAAATCGATCGCACAGCCTTTAGTGGATTTAAGAGCTTCTATCGCATCCATTCAGCAAATAACTGCGATTGCACCAGATTTTCTAAATGAACTTGTACAACAACAAAATATTTCGGCATTGAACACTTTTGCTAAAACTCTTCATAATCTGACGGAACGTATAGCAATGTGTAACTATCAGCAGATTGTTATAGAACCTGAGGCGGATACTCTTTCTGAAGATGTTTCATCATTAAATACATGGGCAGATGTAATTGAAGAATCCTCTTCAAAAATTACACGTTCAATGGTGATCGATCAAGGAGTGATTGAATCCCCGGTTGAAATTGCAGCTTCGATGACAGAAGATGAAACATCTACGTTGAAAACATTAGCAAAGCCGCTAACCGAATTACGACAATGCTTAGCGCTGATCGTCGAAGAACAGAAAACAATCCAGCAATATGATACGACATGTTCTTTGTCGGAAAAAGAAAATATTTCGTTGATGAAAACAATAATACAACCTCTGTTAGAATTAAAACATGCAGCTGCAATAATTATTGAAGAACAAATGACTATTGAGCGTGCTAATGAGCATTCGTTTGCCATCGATGGTAAAAATGAATTTATTCTTCGTCTTTTGATAGAACCACTTGAAGAATTACGTCACTCTATCGCTGTAATACAGGATCATATGCTGGTTGAAACATCAACGGATCGATCGAAGAATGATGTTATATTAAATGCATTGGTTGAACCTCTATTCGATCTCCAACGTGCTATATCTATTTTAGAAACACGAGTGATATCGCCGGATGTTGAATCAATGTCCGAAGATGCAGACAACTGGATTACGGAATGTTTAGCGACTCCTCTGCATGAAATAGAAAAATCAATTGCTGATATTCAACAATGCAATATAATAGAATCTGAAACTATAATTGTGAAAGAGCAAACGAGAACTTTAATACAAGATTGGTCAGTTATCGAAAAATTAGTAAAATCAGTGGAAAGTATTAAATTAGCAATATCATGTATACAAAATGACTCTACCGAAATTGAAATCCTCAAGATGATGGAAATATCATTTATTAATATACAAGAAAATTTAATGTTATTAAAAAATGAATTTAATTTAGATACTGTTGAAAGGAAAAGTAATATTGATGTCTTTATTGAATCTCTTTCCAATTTTGAGAAATGCATTTTATTTCTCAAGGAAGAAATTGATAAAGCAATATCCAAACAATCAGATACAACAGAAGTTGATACTATAATATCTGCCACTCTCATTATACCATTAATCGAATTAAAACGCTCTTTTGAGATTATAAAGGCATCGTCAAGTGTATATCTAAATTATTTGGAAAGACCATTAGAACTAATACTAAAGGCGCTCAAAACAGTTATATTTATGCAACAAAATAAAAAGCTTTTAGAATTATCAATAAAAATAATAAATAATATTTCAGATATTAACAACTCAATTGAATCTATCGAAAATAAATTAAAACAACAAGTGTCGGTTGTTGAAATTTATATAGAATACGAAGCATTTAGAATGTTGATAAAATCTTTAAAGAATATTAAACAATGTATCATACAGATACAAGAAAAATCAAACACTAATTTAATGATTAGTGCTCTTCAAAGCCTAGAAAAATCTATATCTATAATACAACAACAATCAACTGATAAATCATTGGTGGATCCACAACATACAAATTTTGGTAGTCTTTTGAAAAGATTGATACCATGTCTATTCGAATTACAAGAATCAATAGAAGTGACAAAAACGTTATGGTGCGAAGAAACAATACTAGATGGATTAATGATTCTTGAAAAACCAATTTGTAAACTGCTAACTGTGATAAATATTATATCTAATCAGTCTTTGCAAGAAACGATTTCATTAACAGATAAATACGAAACGGCTCTTCAAGAAAAATCCATAAAGGAAAAGATTATAATATCTGAAGTTGAAACAGCTGTCGAGAAAGACAATAAACCTAAAAAAAAAATGGAAGAAACTAAGTTGGGAAAAGATACAGAATCTACAGTAATCAATGATATGAAAGACGAAGAAGATGCGAAGAAACCAGAAAAAGTTAAACAGAAGGAAGAAATAAATGATAAAAAATTAACAATGTTAACACATAAAGAAAATGTTAATCAAATAGAAAATAGAAATGAAAAACAACAGGAAAAGAACGTAATTCAAAAAATACAAAAAGAAAATAAAGAACAAAAAAGCAAGGAAATTGAATTAAAAGAAGAAACAGAGCAAAGTAAAAAAAGCATACAAAATAAAACGCTAAAGCAACAATGTAAAAAAGTAGAAGAGATTAACAACTTTAGAGAACATAAAGAAACTGAAAAATTAAAAGAAATTAAAATTCAGCAAGAAGAAATGAGTACATCCGAAAATGAACGAAGGAAGGAGCAAGAAACTGTACAAAATAAAGAGAAAGAAAAAATAGATGAATATACGAAAACTGAAGCAGACCACAGCATTGAAGAAAAAACGAAAAATGAAATAACGAAAGAATCTAAAGAAATAGAACAAAAAATAAAGCAAGAATCGAAAGAAAAAAAAGAAGATGCAGGCAAAATTGAAAAAAGGGAACAACAGGAAAATACTGAAAAAGGTATTGAAAAATTGGAATTTACAGAACACGCGGGAAAAGATAAAGCTAAAAGAAATCGAGAAAAAGAAAAAGAAATTGATGAAGCGCAACAAAAGAAACAAGAATTTGTAAAAATAAGAGAAGTCGAAATGATACAAAATGAAAAGGACGAGTGTAATAATAAAGCAGAAACTAAAGAAATAAAGAAAAAGGTAGAGCAAAAAATTCTCAAAGAAGAAGAATTAGAAAAAGAGCAGGAAAATCTTAAAGATATAAAAGGCACTGCACAAAATCAAAACGATGATGTTAAAAAAAAAAAAGAAAACGCTGACCTAAAAACAGAAAAAGAACAAAAAAAAGAAAGGGAAAAGGAAAAAATAAAACACAAACAAGAGGAGACGAAAGAAAAAGTAAGGAAGGAAGAAGACGAAAAAATTAAAAATGAAAAGGTTGAAAAAATGGAAAAGGAAAAAAAAAAAAGTGCAAAGAAGGAATCTGTACAACAAGAAATAAAAGAAGAAAAACATGAACAATCAGAACATCAAAATATAATAGAAGAAGCAGCGAGACAAGAACAGAAAAAAGAAAAGATAGTAGAAAAGATAAAAGAAGAAGAAAACGACAAAACAAGAAATCAGAAGATTGAAGATAAGAAAAGAAAAAAAGAAAGGTTAAAAGAGCAAGAACAAAAGGAAAAAGAGATATCAGAAAAAATAAAAGAGGAAGAAAAAACAGATCTGTTAACTGGAGAGTTGGGGAAAAAAGAAGAAAAGATCAAACAAGAACAAAAGGAGCAAGTGGAAGAAATAAAAAAACAGGTAAAAGAGTTGAACAAGGAGATGATAATAGAAGTAAAGGAAGGAGAAAATAAAGAAATAAAAAGTAAAAAGGCTGAGAAACTAAAAAAGAAAGAAGGTGGTGCTGTTAAAAGAGAAGAAATAATAAAACAAGGGAAAGAGGATGAAATAAAAATATCGAGAAAAGAGGATGAAGAACAAAAAGGGACAATCAATCTTGAAGAAATAGCACAAGATGAACAAATAAATACAAAGAATATAGAAGAGGATAAGCAAATAGCCACGCAGAAAAGACATAAAATAGAAAGTAAAGAAATTAAAAGGATAATAGAGAAATCAACAGAAAAAGAGAAAGATGAAATTGTTGAAACAGAAGAAATAACACAGCAAACACAACATAGATATACAAATGATATAAAGAAGGAAAATGATACAAACAAATCTGGGAGAAAAAATAAAGAAATAATCGAAGATCAAGAACAAAATCAAATAACACAAATAAAACAAAATCAGAAAGAAAAAGTAAAAAACAAGGACATCCAAGAATTAAGAAGAGATAAAAATTTATGTTTGTCAGTGGATGAAGATAAAAAACAACGAAGCAATGAGAAAATATTTCAAAAACAACAAGGATATAACAATTCGGATATTAAAGAGGAAGCTTTTTTGAAAAAGGAAGAGGAATGGAAACAGCAAAAACTGCAAAGCAATGACAATTGGTTATATATGAGAGAAGAATGCGTTAATAGAAGCAGTGAACACAGAGTACAGGAAGAAGAAAATAATTATCAGGACAGAGATATTGATAAAAAACTACATCGAATGGAAATGGGGAAGATTAGGAGAGATGAGACTGTTAGATTATTATGGGAAGAGAAACAAAGATTACGAAAAAGACGAGAAGAGGAGAGATTTAGAAATAAACAAAGTATAACACAGCGAATAAGAGAAAATGAATGGTCCAGAAAACGCGAAAATGAATCCGATTGTTTTCTTAGAAATATGTTAGAAGACACGTACAAGCTAGACAAATCGACATCAATATTTTCCAATGTTAATTATACTCAACAATATATTTTTCGATTTAATTCTCACATCCCAATGCTTTCTAGTATTTCCAGATCATACAATTGGAGAAATTCTTTAACATCACTAAGTGAGAAAAGATTTGATAATTATTGGGATTATAAATTACATAGCCCTTCTATGGATAAGTATTATTTTGACACAGGATCTTTGTACAGAAGGCGTAAAAAAAGAGAAAATTATATGATTCGCGCAAGATCGACCAATTTGTTGAAATATGAAGATTATTCAACTATATGTAGGGATAGCGATATCACTATTGTACCTAGTCCGGGCATTCGATCTCTCCGACATACAAAAGTGAATACTATTTCACGTATTGATTTCAATACTTGGAAGTCTGAACCGTCTAGCTTTACTGACCTTTGTCAAAATGAGGTAGTTATTTAATATTAAACTTCTGCTTTGACAATTTAAATAAAAAAGAAACTTCAAATTTAAAAAATGTCAATATTACAGAGTCTTCAGTGGAACAAATCAAAGAAACCATCGTTTTGTTCAAAATTGACAAACAGAATCGTAGAAGTTGGTATGAGGACAAGACTGACCTGTATCGTTCTTGGTAATCCAGAACCACACATCTATTGGACTAAAGACGATCAAAAGCTAGATGCATCTGGTAATCGTTATAAGACACGATTCGAAAACGGTATGGCTTATTTGGAATTACACGATGTGCTTCCCGAAGATGCTGGAATATATACGTGCGTAGCTGAAAATACACATGGCACCTCGAATACCGAATCCATCTTGAAAGTTTACTCCGATCATAAACCTATACATTCACCTCCAACATTTGTAAAATCAATTAAAGGTATACATATATATGCTCAAATACATATATGGTACATTCAGCAGACTCAACTATTGCGGAGCGGATTCGTAAACGCTCGCTGCTATTGGATGATCTAAAAGAATATACCAATAGCAGTAAGCAATTACGGATCCGCTCCGCAATAGTTGAGTCTGCTGAACACAACTAATATAATTTTAGATTGGCTATCCATAAATCAAAGTAATTCACGATTAAGCGACGAAATTAGATCAAAATTTGTACAAAGACCACGATTCTCTAACTTACCAAAGAATTACAGCATGCTCACTGATGGATCTATCGGTCTTGAAGTAGAACTCAAAGGTAAATAAGACGCTCGTCAAGAAAATAAATTTTACTTATATCGAATTATAAAGTCTTTAATCTATTGTAGATATACTATCTCCAGAAGCGAAATGGCAACGTGGCGATCAAACAAAACCAATTACGGTCCCAAAAGCAAGAATCTTTGTAGAACCTGAACTTTATACATTAATTACACCTGATGCGACAGAGCCAGAAAGGGATCCATACGTTTGTAGAACAATTAATGCTTATGGACAAATGGATACAAACGCGACAATGCATGTAATGTCATTGAGCGCTGGAGAGCACCGGGGAAAACCTGCGATATTTGTCTCGAGACCTTCCAAGAAACCGATCGATGTAATCGTTGGCGAAGACATTAGTATATCCTTTCGAGTTAGCGGTATTCCTAAGCCTCGAAGTAAGACTTCGATAAAACAACTCTCTCTAAATTTCTCATATTCTCTCAAATTAACCGTAATCGATATTCGTTTCAAAATTTCCTGAACTAGTATTCATGGATCCAATGTATTTTATAAATCAATGTATCTTTGTTTAAAGCTAACGTAATTAAAAGATCTTTTATTTTAAAGATCAAAATCCGAGGAATAAGGTTATGTAATTTAAATTATGTAATATAGACTACGCGAAAATAAACGTATATATCATAAACGATTTTTCATAACGTAGTTGTGAAAAAAATATTCAGAAATTTATTAGATCTGTGAATATTAATTAAGGATTAATATTAAAGTACATAATTCTCTTTAGTTCTTCTTTCTTTTTTTCTTCACTATTTCTTTCTCTATTTTAGTAATATGGATGAAGGGATTAACAGATATCACGGATGGACCGAGATCCTACAAAGAAAGTACTGATGATTATGTCAGATTAATATTAAAAAAAGTTATACCTTCTGATGAAGGTACCTATTGCATTTTAGTTAAAAATAGATATGGCTGTGACAGAAGTTTTTTCTCTGTCAAGGTAAGAATCTTTATAAAAATTAAACTTTGAAAGGAAACATATAATCAATATCATTTTTAAACAGATAAAGCCACGTGCTAAATCATTGACTCAATTATCAAATTGGAATCCTGTTACTGATCACGATGCAGAAGAATGCAACGATGACATGTCCTACATAAGAAGTAAGTGGTTTTGAAATTATTTAAATCTGATCTACAATTGCGTAAACATAATTGTAAGTGGTTATAGGTGTAAGAATCCTTCAATCACAATTGGATATTTTCCTCGTATTCAACTATAATTGGTCAATTCTTACAACAATTAAGTTTACGCAATTGTAGAGGGGGCTTTACAGTATAAAGATTGCACGCGTACACACACACACACACACACACACACACACATTGTATAATATTAGTTACGGAAAAACACGAAAAAAATTGGAAGATTTTGTAGTGTATTATATATTATATATTACTTGCACAAATAAAATAGATTATACTTACAAGGGAACGGTCGAAACTATCCCTCATCGATTTTGATGCGCTTTAGATATGTGTAGTGTAGAGCATAAAAAAATATTCAACCCATTTTTTTATAGTGGTTTATCTCGAGGTTAGGAGATGAAACATCTCCACGAAGAAAATAGATTTTTTTGTTTTCAGCTAATATCTTCGAAATTCTATCGCGTATGAAAAAAAAATGTTTTATACAAAAATTTACAGTATTTTATGCACAAAAATTAAAGAGCATGGGTTGCCAAATCCATTCATGTATAATAATGTTACGGTTCCACGATTCAATTTTTCAAAAAACAAGATGATAATCGTGTTACAGACATCACGCACGTTATCATCTCGTTTTATGAAAAATTAAATCGTGGAACCATAACATTATTACACATAAATTATAGATTCGGCATCCGATGCTCTTTAATTTTTGTCCTTAAAATTTTCTTGATTCCATTCAATGTTTGAATGTTTAGCGTAAAATGAGATTTAACGTTTGGTAGAATAATCAACAGAAAATACTTTACGTAAGACGATCGAATGATCGTAATTTTTGTTTGATAGGAAAACTTTTTCGTCAAAAATTTTGTACTACAATCGTTCATTGAGCGTTCTTGCATTTGATTCCATTAGATCCAAATATATATACCAAATAGGTACAAGAGTTCATTGAACGCTTTAATTAAATTTTTTTCTTCTGATCAATTAAATATTTCGAAATAAGTTTAAAATATATAAGATTACTCTGACAGTAACTATTAAATTAGCTACTAGTTACTTAAAAGATGTAACTAACAAGTAAACCTACCCAAGTGTAACTCTCCGATTTTGATGAGCTTTTAATCTGTTTTTCTCCAGACAAAAATAAGCGACACGTATTTTTTTATACGTGCCCATACGCACCTTTAAAGGGTGACATACCTCTTTGAAAAAAATCGGTTTCTCTCTTTCGAAGCAAATATCGTCGAAAATATAAGAGATAGAAAAAAATTTCTACAATAAAAATTGAATGGCTTCAAGAGTACTTTACAACTAAAAAATAAAAAAATTTTTTTAGTTATTTATTTATTGTATACTTTCACTCTCCACTCATATTTTCAAAAATTTTTATATCTTTATATGACGAAAATTGAAGAGCATAATTTACTGAAAACAACAGTGTGCATTTAAATTACGCGCTCCATACGTATTCTGACACACGCGTATACAGACGTTTTCGTCCATTTTTGAAAAATGGTTTTACGGAAAGTAATTTAAATTCACACCGTTGTTTTCATTAAATTATGCTCTGCAATTTTCGTTATACATATAAAGATATAAAAAATTTTGAAAATAAGGGTGGAGGGTGAAAGTATACAATAAATAAGTAACTAAAAAAATTTTTTTTATTGTAGTTGTAAAGTACTCTTGAAGTCATTCAATTTTTATTGCAGACATTTTTTTCTATCTCTTGTATTTTCGACTATATTCGTTTCGAAAGAGAAAAACCGATTTTTTTCAAAGGGGTATTTCACCCTTTAAAAGTGCGTATGGGCACTTTTAAAGGTGTATAAAAAAATACGTGTCGCTTATTTTTATCTGGAGAACAACATACTAAAAACTCATCAAAATCGGAGAGTTACACTTGGGTAGGTTTACTTGTAAGTTAAATTATAATTATAGATGAATAGAAAGTAACGAAGTTAAGTTACAGTTACTGAAAGAAAGTAACTGTAACTTCGTTACAACGAGTTACTTCCCATTCTTGGTTTTATCACGATATATTGTGCTGAGAAAAAGTATTTCGCAAAGAAAAGAATCATTTATTAGTTTCATACATTAATATCCCTTAAAAAAACCTTTTTAAAACAAGAAAAAATGTACGCCAAGTGCATAAAAAAAGACATTGAATTCTTCTTAATTAAAAACGAACATGAAATAAATGTAATTAACCAAGTATTTCATTACGCAAAACACATAAGGTATGTCAATTTTATATTAAGAGTCCTTGGATTTAAATATTATTTTTATAATTTTTATCAGATGTGCCCGGTCCGATCAGTAGTGAACCAGTTGTTATCGATGGTGGAAAAAGCTGGCTCTCATTGAGTTGGGGTAAAGCAAAGAAAAGAGGACCTACACCGGTGGTTGCTTATAAAGTCGAAGCTTGGCTATTAGGCGGTGGTGGAGGTGCACGATGGGCAGAGGTGAGACACATACAAAAAGAAAATGAAAACTTTTAACTTAACAATATATATTTTATTTTGTTGTTTTATAAATCATATGTATTTATGTATTTAATCTGTATATGTATTTAATCTTGTCAGTTGGGAATTACGCCAATCAACGTATTCGACGCATTCAATTTGCGACCAGGTGGAGAATATAAATTTCGCGTAACACCGCGAAATCGTTACGGATGGGGCGAATCAGTTACAATGAGAAATTCAGTATTGGTTATTGAAAGTACCGACCTTCCTGAATTGACAAAAATTTTACCGGATCAATTAAAAGCTCTCGAAGGAACATCGGTAAAATTGGAATGTGAGGCAAGTTTATATAAAACTACAAAAATATAATATTTTACTATATATATTCTTAGTCAATGCTTCTTACATTATATGCATATTTTATTTTACATACATACACTACTCAACAAAATCTAGGGAATACTTTCGAACAAGCTAAAAATTTGGCAATATTCAAAACACCGTAACTCGGTGAAAAATCATCGCAGACAAAAAATTAAAAAAGCATTTTATAGGTAGAAATCTTTACTTTCAAAATCTATAATTAAAATTTCAATATGACTGATACTTAACGGAGTTATACGAACATAAATGAATATCCATCAAATCTAAAAAATTTTCACAAACTTTACAAAGTTCTATAGCGTGAGGTAAAAATTACACAAAAATGCGGTTTGAAGCAGTCGAAAGAGTGAATCTTTACTTTCAATTTTCTTTTTTATTGAACGTTGTACGATTTTTTTTCACCGAGTTTTTGAATGTTAAGGTAGTTCTTCACAAAAATGAATTACTGCAGAAAAAAATAAGAAAAATATATGAGGTTCTCTGGATCTCGAACTATATGCTACAATTTTTTTAAACCCCGATTGCCGAACTCATTTTTGAGAAAAAATTCGTTGAAATTGCTTTCTTATACACGGAGACATAGGGTATCGTACAGTTCCGAGCACTATTATTTACAAATTAGTATAGTAAAAAACTGCAGTTGATAATGAAAAAGTAATAGATGAAAGTTAAAGATTCGTACTTTTTAACGGTCAAAATAAAAGTGGAGGTAGCCGAACAAATTTTCGAGATATTTATTGTAGAAACAGCAAAAATGTACGACTTCATAACCTCTTTCATGTCATCCGTAAACGTGGCAACGTCGCGTTTCTTATTCGCGCTCGCTGTTTCGGCGCGTTTTTTTAAATCGTTAGAATGTGCATTAAGAAAATAAATTCTTATACTAAATAATAAAATGTGTATGGATTAATAAATTATTAGTATTATTTATTGTTAACGAATATTGCATGTATTGAAAATGCATTACAATAATAGAAATATAATATAGGTAACAACAACGATCAATAACTAATTACAAAAATAGACTAATCGTTATTTGAAAATAATTTGCATACTGTATTTAAAATTGTTTTATTAGTTGTGATGCGAGGTTTGCCATCTACACTTTCTCCGAATAAAATTCGAATTCCTTCCTGACCATTTTTTTTAAAAGTGTCTTGTAAAATTTGTTTATACCAACTTTACTATGTAATAATAAAGAAATAAGCAAGCGATTTAGCAAAATACGCTTTATACGCGAATAATCCCGAAGGTTAGGTGATGCGACTCTGTTGACTGTTTCATTCAAACCTAAACTTACCGACCGCTTACACATGTGACAATGCGACGTTGCCAAGTTTATCCGTGTATGAATAACTACGTGGTTCATCGCTACGTATAAACAATATTAATATTATTAAAACTTTATTATTTCAATGCAAATATTATCAACAAAGACCTTAAAATTTATAAATATATTTAATGAACGCCATATATACAATTCGATTGAGAATTTCGCAATTTTTATTCTCAGCATTCAGTTGACTAGGGAGTCCGTGAAGAACTACCTTAAAGCAAAAGTGATCGCTTTACCTTACGCCATAAAACTTTTTAAAGTTTATGAAAATTTTTTAGATTTGACGGATATCCATTTATGTTCGTATAATTCCGTTAAGTATCAATCATATTAAAATTATAATTATAGATTTCGAAAATAAAGATTTCTACCTATAAAATGCTTTTTTAATTTTTTGTCTGCAATGATTTTTCATCGAGTTACGGTGTTCTGAATATTGCCCAATTTTTAGCTTGTTCGAAAGTGTTCCCTAGATTTTGTTGAATAGTGTATGATAACTTCGATTTTTTTTTAGATTCGCGGTGATTCTAGAATGAAAGTACAATGGTATCGTGAAACAACAGAAATTAATCCATACAATGATACCAGATTTACGATATGTTCTGACGGTTCTAAATGTTCTTTGACGATTGTAAATGTTAAAGAGGATGATTCCGGAAGATACGTTTGCGAGGCAAACAGTAGGATCGGTAAAGTGTCATCATTTGCTAGAGTTCTCGTTGTTACCGATCCAAGAATTATTGAGGCTGATGCTAAACTTAAATCAAGGTAAAACAATTAAGATTTAATGATAAAACTGGTAATAACATGACATAATTCTATTAAAAGTTCGAGTATCGAATTGGAAAATAGACCGCCGCAATTCACCTTAAGGATACGGGACAGGCGAGTGCAAACTACTTATCCGGTAAGACTTACTTGTCAGGTCATCGGACATCCCGTTCCAGAGATTGTTTGGTATAAAGACGGAACGGAGATTTCTCAAGATGGTAATTAATTTATTATCTGACATGAATTTCCTATATTAACATCAGAGGGGGAGTGAAAAATTACTTTTTAAAAGTAACAAGTTACAGCTACTCGTTAACGAGTAAAAAATGTAACGAATTATCATTACGTGGAGTCATATTAGCGGAAATAAAAAAAAATGGGAACTGTTCTGTTTGCCCAGTTTTTTTCATGGAATGGGTCAAAAGCAATGTGGATTGAAGTACTGTGAAGTTTTAAGGGTATTGGATTGCCGCGTAATTAGTTATTAACATTTATTAACAAATTCGTTGGCCTCCTGTGGTTTTTTTCATATATCTCGGGTGCCTTGCATCGTACAGAGAATAAAAAAATAGCAATCGCTTCGTTATGAAATTTTCTACAAAAAAGTTAAGATGGTCAAGTTCGAAATATTGCAATCTAACCTCAAAAAAAAAAGAAATGTAACGGAATGGTAAATTTTCGTTTTTTTATTGTATCTTTTTTTCTAATCGCTCAATTTAAATGATATTGAAGGAAAAGTTACTTCTTATAGTGCCAATTAAGTATACCAAAATTGAATTAAAAATATTAATTACAATGGCCGCAATACTCGTTTAAATTTTTTAATTGTCGAGCTTCTCACTAGGGTGCGAAGCATGCTAGCGGACTTTTTTTTTTTTTAATTTGTAGCTTTTTTTATGCACTTTAAGCTGATATTAAACAATTTTGACGAAATGTTTAAAAAAACATTTTTTTTAACAATTAAAAAAAAATTTTTTTTTATCTCGTTTTTTTCAGCAAAACTATTTTATTTTAAGAATGTAAATTATTTGTGAGAAGTATTGAATGATATATAATATAAAAATAAATTCATTGTACTCGCGTTGAGTAGGAATAGGCGGGTTTAAATAATGAAGAGCATGTTTATAAGTAATGTATGTAAGAACCTTTTTTATTACATTAGTCGTTGTCGTTTGATACTGTCGATGCTACTGAGGGAATCTGTCTCACTGTCACATAAATACATATTAAAATCTTCATCGCCTGATTCATGCCATTGCAGAGAAGAAATTGTCGAGTCGTTATCCGAATAATCATCAGCGCTCATTTGTGAAGTGTGAGAATGAACTTCAGATGTAGAGAAATCGTCGTCGTCTACTTCGTTGATTTCGTCTAAATTCAAATGGTTGACATCTTTTACGAATTGAGCCGAATTCTCACAATTTAGGCCGGTGCAATGTCTGCATGCTGGTGCACATTGCATACCATGTTTTTTACACGTGCATAGCTTTGTTTTGCAGCCGGTTTTACATGCACAAGATATGGATTGCAGCAGAGTGTCGGGTATAGGTTTAGTACCTTTCGGTAATGCAATTGGCATTAGACTATTGCTTGTCATCTCCCATCCATACTCACAAGGTGACTTACTTGTGTTAGAAAGCCACTTTTGTACTTGTATGTATACGCGTAATATGTGATAATGTGCTGCAGCTGCAGTCGGTGGCAATTCAAGAAGTTTACAAACAGTTCTTGTCGTGTATTTTTGAAAGCATCGAAATCTCAGAATATGCAAGTCTGTATTTTTATTAGGATCAGAACCGTACAAGGCTTCTATACAACTTTTCCCTGCTGCAAACAGCACCGTTTTTGTTACTTCCGGATTGTAAAACTGCTTTATATCCTTGTGCAAATCGTTGTATTTGCGAACGACATCACAAATTTTCTTTTTTCCGATTCCAAAAAACGCGGATGTAGTATCACACCCAGAAAACGCATGCAAAAATAAAACGCTATCTTGAATATCGGAATATTTGAAACTGAATTGATTATACAATTTTTCAGTAGAATTCCCGATGGCAGGTTTTAAAAAATAAATAGTATGCGACATTGAAACGCTGCTTAAAATCACTAATAAATCCACATCTTGTCCTATAATAATCACATCGTTATTAATATTATCTCTTTTTTTTGCTACTGCTGCCTGAATGATGTGAAGATCAGCATCGTCGGAACATTTTTCGTACTGTATCTTGAATTGTTCGAAATACTGGCACAATAACGAAATGAAATCTTCTTTATTCTGACTGTGTAACAAAAATGTTTTCTGGTTCGTGGGCGGCGAGGAATGGACATCATTGATTTTTATTTCCGTTGATTGTGAATTATGCAACCGCCGAATGCGCTCAACATTTTTTGTACTGCGATGTTTTTCGGCGTATCCATCAAACACAACAGTACAATAGAAATTTTCGCTATAATGTTTTTTTATGTAATTCACATACGTCTGGAATATTTCAACATATGTGGATTTCTTCGGCCATACCACTTTGTGAAGAAGATAGCCTCCGTCAATAACGTACCAAGCATTTTGAAATGTAGGCTTTTCTTGAAGTGGAAGAAACAAATTATAAAAATCAGACTTGGTATTTTTCCGCATGCCATTCTCATCAAACATACTGAGAGGATATGGAGCAAGCTCGTATTGGAAAAACCCCTTCAATTCATCATCGTCTTTTTTCATTAGGCATATCCTTTGAAATAATAATGTTGGGTCAATCGGAACATCTTTAGAGTCAATTTTGATTTTTGATGTCATGATTGACAGTGGCTGGACACGATATTTTCGACCAATTTTTACGTCGCCTATTTTTTTACCGAAAGTCGACTCTACAGCATGCGTTCCAATTTCAAATGCTTTATTACAATCAATTTTAGCATCGGCAACGATACCAGTCTTCAATGACACTAATTGTTCTGTATTGGAAAAAGGTGAATTGTCTTGTAGCCATGATTTCAACTTTTCGAAATTGGTATTGTCTTTTTTTACGCGTGTAGGGCCTCCATCATCGTGCATGTCACTCTTATGCTGTTCACTTACCCCAAAAACAGCAACTTTACAGTACTCCTGACAGCTTTGGAATATGTCCACAAAGATTGGCATTGATAAAATCCATTTTGCAATGTCACTGTCATCGGTACCTCGGCCATGAGTAAGTCCTCTTCCTGGATCTTTGAACAGTTTCATAAGGCCCGTTTCAATCGTTTGATCCCCAAAAATTGCACAATAAAATTTATCTGTTCTTCTGACGGAAAAATTTGACATATACCCACTATGTTCTTGTTCACTCAGTTGTAACATTTGCTGAACAAATAAATGGGCGCCCTTCGCATATAAATTATGTCCGGCTGCATGAAAAATTGGCAGCATTTGCGTAATACATGTCAGATATTCATTCCAATAAGTACAACGCGTAGCTTCAATAAATTTTTTTATTAGCGTAACCATCTGGAAATATTGCACCCAAAGCTTACCAGTTGGCATGTTATCAGCAGAAAATTCTTGTAATTTATCATTGAATTTTTTCACCACTGTTTGGTACGCGGCATTATTAAATTCAGGTAAAATATTGGTATGTCCGACTTTTTCTTGCAGTGCATTAAGTAATTCTTTTTCGGCTTGTGTAAAAACAATGGATGATAATATTAAATGCGCTAATGCTGCGTGTATTTGTACATGAGCTTGGAGTGCCCTAGCAAATGCGTGTCCGGTTAAGATATGTTTTATTGAATTTTCCGCATAAATGAGTAATAATATGTCCTTGATTCCACTTCCGTCCATTACGTGTCCTATTGCACCCATATACGACATTAATAAATGAAATCCTCCTAATATTGGTACGACATTCTTCAATCGATGATCTTCTGAAGTTGCGATGACTTCTAATGCTTTCATATACAAAGGCAAATCAAAGGTTGCATAAACGTAGGGGAGATTTGAACTTGCTGCTTTTTCACAGGCTAATAATAAAGAAGTATACACCGTGTCTTTATTTGAAGGAGGTGCACAAATAAATGGCAAACATATTACTCTACTTCGTTGAAATGATAGTTCCGCCGTAATTTCTTCCATAAAATGGTTCCATCCAGTACTTTTTTCGATATCATGAAATTTACTATACAGCCACAAAAAATCACTATCAGATAATTGAATGTTGTTTATGTACTTATTTCCACTCAAATCATACCCATGTAATGTTTGAAAACGTAAATCTTGAAACCGTTTCTCTGGATGTGCTTCAAAATATTTCAGGGATACGACACCTTTTGCGACAAATGTTTCCGATTTAGGTAATTTGTTCATTTTAGGAATGCTCTGATGTTGTATTGCATTATGAGGAACAATTATTTGTATTCCACCCATGCAGTGGAATGTGTTGAATCCATCGAATGTGCAAACATTATGATCCGCATTATCAAATGCGAATTGTCCGAAACATTTCTGCATAATAGGTTCTGTTTGAAAATTTATGGCAGAGGCTTGAAAAAGGGATACTTTAGTGTATGAAGCACACAATCCTAAACTGGATAAAATGTCAATTAAATCTTTTGAGCCATATCTATGATACAGAGTAACGGCGAGTCCAAGTTGTAAAGGCGATATCATTTTTTTTGGCAACATCGCAGCTATTATATTATGTGCGATTGCACTTATTTTTTTATGCCAGTCTTGTTTTTGCTTTTTGTCATGAGTAATGAGAGTCCATAAAAATTTAAATAACGATTGTGGTATATATTCATCAAGGCCATTAAAAAATTGATCAGCTGCTGGGTAGTGATGCACGTCATAAGTTTTATTTTTCACATCTCTAATTATTATTTCAGCGGCTTCTTTTAATGTCTTTACTTCACTATCTTCTGAAGGCAGAACTTCATCCCTTGTCGATTCTTTAAAATGTTTCATTAAAATTTTATTGCCTGCTTTTCGACGAAATATAATAGTTTCCTGGCAATTATTACTTGCGATAAATATGTCGTCTTCAAGTTTTAAAAACAGTTGTTGCTTGATCCACTTTAGGGTTGGTATCGTAACATCTTTATTGTCTGCTTGAAATTCATTAATGATACTTTGAAGACTGAATTGATCCAAGTCCGGATGAGAGTTTATAAAATTGAAAATATAATTGACAATTTTAGATACATGACTTCCTTTCTTTGATTCACTTTCACTTGCAGAACATTC